GGTTTATCGCCCAATGTCCATTCTGAGCGGCCTGTTTTGTTTCGCAGATCGAGCCGTTTTTGACGACATCACGTCGGGTAGTCTTAGTGGGTGATTGGAATGCCGTCCTTGATCCCGATATAGATCGCATAGGGACAAATTCGGGTACTAACAACCGGGCGTGAAACCATTTCGGGGACTTTATCGACAAGTTTGATCTTGTCGATAAGTACCAAAAATGAACACCTCGGGGGTAGTGTGGACTTGGACAAATAGTGGCGGCTCGCTAGTTATCTAGACCGAGTCTTAGTTAGGAGAGTCGATGTAGGGCTCTTAGGGTGTCCAAGTTTCCATGAGATAGTTTATTCGGATCATAGGCTTGTCCGGGTCCGTGTAAACTTAGATAAGCCTAAGGTTAGGATGGCTGGCTACTGGAAATTAAACTCATCATTATTTGGTGAGCAAGATTTCCGGGACCAGCTTTTACTAATGATACAAAGGGAACTGACGGGAGCGGTTGTGGGAAATGCCTGGTGGGATAAATTAAAATCCAAAATTAGAACGTTTGCTGCTGATTATAGTCGTCGGCTCAATCTAGATAGATTAGCGGCGCAAACGGCTTTAGAGCAGAAAGTTGATCGGGCGGTGAAATCCCGTGATAGTGGGGAAATAGCCTTAGCTAAGGCAGAGTTGGCCTCCTTGCTTATCAAGAAGGATCAAGCTCTGGTAGTTAGGGCTAGGTTAAAAAGAATGTCCTCTGAGGCGATTTAATATGGCCGCAGAATTGCGTGCAGAGGAAGCTCGGCATGCATCTCAGCGACATATCGCGAAAGCGTCACATTGCCGGATAAGCGGATCGTGACAACAAACGAGGGCATATGTGAGGCTTTTCGTGACTACTTTCAGGAGCTTTTCACCAGGGAGCCCGGTCTGAGCTCTGCTCAGTTCGACTCCCTATTTGGCTGACTTTCCTGCCTTAGTGCAGCTGAAGAAGCTAGGTGCGAGGGTCCAATTACAGAGTCGGAAATCTGGGATGCGTTGAAACAGGTTGGCCTGGACAAATCTCCGGGCTTGATGGTCTTCCGCACGAAGTGTACGTGTGGGCAGTCGCCCGCTTTTTGTTCCGCTGCTGGCACTGATTTTCGGCAACTGGATGAAGCAGGGGTCTATACCCCAACGCTTCACCAGGGGCGTGATCAAGTTGTTACGCAAGAATAAAACGGGGGGATGGGTTAGGTAACTTTCGCCTTTAACTATGTTAAACACAGAGTTAAAGATTTTGGCTAAGATCCTGGCTAACCGTTTGCAGGCTGTCCTGTCTAGTCTGATTGGCCCTGAACAGACTTGTGCTGTAAAGGGCAGGACTATTCAGGACAACCTTCATATGGTGCGCCTGATCATCGAAACAAGTCGACAGTGAAGCCGCCCTGATCAATTTAGATCAGTCCAAGGCCTTCGATAGGGTTGACCATCATTTTCTGGAGGCTGTTCTTTCGGCGGCGGTTTGGAGCCGTACTTTCGCACCTGGATCCGACTTCTGTATGCGACCCGGTGCGCTGGTGGAGGTGAATGGAGTAATGATCGAGCCTTTCGTATTGTCTCGCTCCATTCGTCAGGGTTGTCCGCTATCGCCTTTGCTTTTACGTTCTTGCGTTGGAACCTTTCGCCGCATAAGTTAAAAGCGATCCGGTCCCACGCTGAATTGCCCTGCCGGTGGTAGCACCTCGGCCAGGTATTCGCCTATGCTGACGACGTTTCGGCTCTTGTGTCGAGCAGAGCCGAGATTGACGAAGTCAGCAAAGAAATCAGTTGTTATGAGATGGTGACAGGGGCCAAGATCAACCGCGATAAGTCTGTTGGCTTGCGGTTGGGTGCGTGGAAGGGAGTTTCTCTTCCCGGACCTTTCCACTGGACAGATGGGCGGTCAAGATTCTCGGCGTCTTTTTGGTCCTGATCTCCAGTTGGAGATGAATTGGTCGGAGGTGCGAGGGAAGGCCGAGATCGCAATTAAATTGTGGTCTCGGAGGAATCTTTCCTTAAAGGGAGGGCGGAAGTTTGTGTTTCACACATCTACCCGATTCTCCTTTACCGACTCTCTGTGCTTCCACTTCCGTGTGACACTTTACTGGCGTTAGTGAGGCTCTTGTTCTCCTTCTTGTGGGGAGGCAAGGCTGCCAGAGTCAGTCGGGAGATCTGTTGCCTTCATCCATCTGAAGGCGATCTGGGCATGCCGAGCATTGAGATTCGTCAACATATGCTTCGCATTAGTTTTCTGGATCGAATGTGTCGCGATTCGGATGAGGACGGCGCCTTCTGGAAGGAAGACGCCCGTGAAGAACTTCCCATCCCTGAGAAGTGTGCATTCGAGCGAGGAGGAGGCCCGCCGTTTACCCCCGAGCAATGCTCCTTCTATCGTGAATGTCGATTGCACTGAAGCGCCTCTTCACGGGCGTCGGATGGCCTCTCCAACGTCCAGGCGTTGTCGCGGGGGGCATTATATCAAGTTTTAGTCAGGGGGCCGTGCATGATGATTTGATTGGCGAGCTCGGTTTGACGAGGCAGCAGGCTCGCTCAATATGGCCTTGGCGCCCGGGTTGAAATGCCTCAATAACGATGAGGCATCACTCACCTGGCTGGTGATCGTGGGGCCCTCTGGGTCGCCAAAAGACTCTGCTCAGCTGGCTTGGAGAATTCTCCAAACTGCCGGCGTTGTAGTGGGGAGGTCGAGACCTTGGGTCACGCCTTCTTTCATTGCAGCCAGATAGTGCCGTTGGTCAAGTTTGTTGAGGGCCTCATGGTCCGCATGCTGCAGGGAAAGTCCTTTGTCCTTCAGTCCGTTTCCGTTTGTAGCAATGTGGCACCGCCGTTAACGAAAAGGCTGAACAGTATGTGTTCCACTGCTTGCTAGGTGTTATGAGAGTCGTGGTTTGGACGACACGTCAGAAGGGATTCTATGGAGGTAGAAGTTCACCTCTTCCCAACTGATCTTGTACTTTAAGCATCAGCTTAAAGTCAAGATTAGGACGGAAAAAGCGGCTCACTTCATCAGAATTCAGCAAAAGGTGGGTGAATCTTTTGCCGCTTGTGTCGTGGTGAAAGGAGCTGACTTTGAGTGGCACATTGATGCGGTTAGGCATCAGGATTTTGCTCTTCCTGGGTTGAACTTGGGCAACCCATCCTGAAACTAGGCTAGCTTAGGTTTTTTTATTTTGATACTTTAGTTTCCTTTTGCAGTTAACTTAGCTAGGGTATGTATGCTCATTGGCCCCCTTTTATTTCTGTCCCCATTTGTTTTTTCTTTAAGTTTAATTCCCCATCCCCTCCCTCGTTAGGGTGGTCAGTGATGTCAGTTCGCTGGTGGATGCGGGCGCCTTTCGTTTCGTGTGAGTGATTCTTTTTCAGATTTGTTGTTGTGTCTGAATGAGTGCATGTCAGTGTGAGTGATTGGGATGAATGAATGGTTTATACTATTATAGTCCCGCATTGATTTTCGGCCAGTGAAGTGATGTTTCTGTCACATTTAGGAAACTGTGGGGGGTTTTATTACTAATCTTATTTTCTTTAGTTTCTTGTAAATAGTTTTGTATGCATATTGTAAATACTCATTGGGGTTAATTTTTAGAATTGTTGTTTTATTCCCTCCCCCACAGACCAATTAATTGTAAATATGGGGACTAGTTAGTATTTTCATAGAGACAAAGAGGTATTATGGTGGTTGTAGTAAGAAAGGTACGAATGAATGTGTTGTTTTGGTGTAAGGAATATTGTTTCGTACGTTTGGGTCAGTGCTTGCGGCTAGCTAAGTTATAGTTAAGACAGAAGAAGACCGTCCTTTCCCCAATCCCCTTTTCGGCCTTGTGCCACATTTCTGTATTTTAAACAGAATAAATATCGCTTTTCTCTTTGGTATCTCAACTTTACAAATTTAAGTGCAGTGCTAAATTGGTAGTTAGGTCTCATCATTTTACAGTTAAAATTGTCAGATGTAACCGTAAGTTTTATGCTAACAGATTCTTCTCTCACACTTCTTACTTGTGAAACTCTCTTCTACCTTCTTGCTTTCCAGTTAACTTTGATCTTCAAAAATTTAAATGTGATGTCAATCATTATCTTCTGTCTTCTTAATTCCAGTTCTTTTATTTTTCTCTCTTTTTTTAATAATGTTTTTCTTTTTCTTATATTCTTTTACACTGAGTAACCCTTGGTGTTTTTATTGCTTTTCTTGGCGGGAAATTAAAAAAGAAAAGAAATACATGTTCTAATTTATTAACAAGTTGAATATCACTATTTTGTACAAGTTGGCTGTTTTCTCTTGACGTGTGACTTTTTCTGGCCAATTTATTTTAATTTTTCTGTGTAGAATGTAAATTTGATCACTATTGAATGAACCCTACTATAACATTGCTTATGTCGACATCATGTTGAAACACTGGTTCCCATATAATCATCACAGTTAAGCAACGTTAAACCTGGTCAGTACCTAGATGGATGACTACTTCGGTATACCAGGTGCTGTAAGTTTGGATGTGGGGGTTGTAGTGGATAATGACTTGGAATTGTTAATCAAAGAGCCAAGTTCAAATTCCAATTGGATTCATTATATTTACTTATACACAAATACCCTTGGGAGAAGTATGAATCCTATTCTCCTCTCAATTATGGGTTAATTAGTAAGACTTGTATCACTAAATCATTATTATCTCAAAAAATAAAATTCTTGCAGTCTAAAAATATTTTCTGGCTATAAATAACCTGCAAAGTGTTGATAATCCGTAGATAACAAATAAATCAACCTACTTTGACCTTGTACCAGACTAATCATAGTAAATATCTGTAATTCAACAAGAATGCTATTAATACTTATGAAAGGAAATGACTGCCTCATGCTATTTCCTCCTTTTTGCAAGTATTAATGTTGAAATACTTAATGCCTTACACTCTTTTTGGTCTTATATTTTATTTATGCTTAATGTCTTCTATATATTAAAATATGAATAATATTGATTTTTTTTTTCTTTCAGAAAGTACTGCATGAGAAAATCAAAGAAAGTCTCAAAAATGATGTCAATAAACAGAGAAAAAATGTTTTCTGCATTCCATACTTCCATAGGAAAGGCAAAACGGTAAGGATTCTTCTCAGTTAAGATTTCTTAATCATCCCTCAGCCAAGAACTTATCCAACTCCATTTAATGTGATGAACAGATTTTAAGTATGTTCTGAGACTTTAAATGTTATCCTTATTAGGTGAAAAATTCTGTTAAATCTGCTCATCGAGGTGCTGAAATTGTTCTTCAATGATGTAGTAGGCTTCATGAGAGGATATACAGAAAATAGTATGGATTTGAACAAAAGTCAAAATGAATTCCACAATGTCCCATCTGAAATTTATCCAAATTTCTTATTGTCATTATTAATTTCTGACTAGTTTTGCTTGTTTTTGTTATCACAATACTTTGGTCATTTCTATATTCTATAGTATGGAATAAATAACAGATGATGAAAAATATAGATATATGATATCTGCTACTTGGATTTTATCACTTAATTTGTAAAACTATTTCCTGGTCCAACAAGCTTCCAAGGAATGAGAGTTCAAACTTTAAAAAATTTTTTAATTATTTCAAATTTTTAGAAGTTACAAGATAACCAAAAAATATTTGCCGTATTTTACATTGTGTTGAAAGAAGTGATCACTAATACACAAACAAGAGTATCACATGCTGGGAAAGCGGTGGAGGTGGGGGAGGGCATTGTTTTTGACCAGTGCAGGTGTTTTGCAAGCACACATCAGTCATAGCTCGAGCAGTGTTGAAGCAGCTCGTTTGGAGTTGTTTGCGTTAACAACTCTCCATCTGTGCAAGGTCAAGCTCTGTATCTAGTGGACTAGTCGACAAGTGATGCACTGTGTGCTGCTACCAACAAGCCAAACCATTACTGTGGCTTGTACTTGCAGCAGTTGGAATGTGTGCAGCAAGCACTAAAGCAGAAGGATGTACAGGGTGTACAGTTTCATCATGAAAATGCTAGGCCTCATGTCGCATGGGAGGCCAGGAATACCATATGGCGAATTGGCTGGGAGACAGACATTGTGTCATCCACTTTACTCCTTGGACTTTATGCCAACAACTCCTTCCATTACCTGGACAACCAATTTCTTGGGAAATCCTTTGCAAATGAGGCAAACTTACAGCAGGGACTCACAGACTTCTTTGTGTCTAAAACACCTAATTTTTACCATCAGGGCATTGTGCAGCTAGAGGTACATTGGCAAAAGGTTCTGGATGCAAATGGGGATTACTGAGAACTAACAGTATGTCAAATTTGCTGTCAACTTTTTTTTTCTCTCTCTCTCTCTCTAATAAATAAAAAATGGCAAGAACTTTTTTGGGGTTATCTTGTACATAGTCTGGAATGCTTTAAAAATGTAGATTAGCAGATAATGATTAGAATTCTGTGTATAAAATACAAAAAAAAAAGGCAAAAATTGAAATTAGTCAGTAGATGTTGAAAGGCAGTAATAATTCACGATTAATTTAAAAAATTTTAATCACTGATTAATTATATAATTTTTAATGTAATAAAAATTAATTAAATTTTTTTTTTAATTTATATCATTTATTCTTTTTTAGTTATCATTTAATGAGATGGTTTTTCATTAAAATGTTCTTAAACGTTTTTGAAATTTTTGAGCTGTCTTTAAATTGTAGTGTTTTTATACCTTGGTAATTCTTTCTGCAGAAAGATTTAAAAACTGAAAATTTAAATGTCCATTTATTATTTTTTCACTATAGCCTGAACCAAACGAACACACGAAAATTCTTCAAACATGGCACTATGATAAGATTGATCGAGAGAAACAATGTGAGTACAATACACTATCTATCTTTATATATATATATATATATATATATATATATATATATATATATATATATATAAAATTTTCCTCACCAGCAACACAATTCTGAGTTTCATGCACAATGCAATTGTCAGGTACTGATAGAAAATATTCACATATCTTCCTTCCTTCAGGTGTGTGTTACATGCAACAATCTAATTTTAGGCAAAGTTTAAATTTTGTGCCTGCAAAAAAACAGTGTATCAAAAGGACACCCCCCTTTTTTTTACTACCGTTGTAACAGAGCACTGACCCTGTTTACACATTTAATTATAGGATGTTAATTTGGAGGGACTACTAAGTGAATATAATTATTAAAATTCTCAGAGGAGATTGGATGTTTGAGGAGAAAATTGAAAATGAGTCATTTAAAAATTATGTTTTAAAATAATAAAATGAATTTAAGAACAGTTTGAAGGAGAATTGAATCCAGAATTAGGCAAGATTCAGTATAGTTAAACAAAGGCAAGGTTTCCAATCCTATCCATTTCCTACTGATAAGAAGACATGATTAATGTGTTGTCTGAATTTCTTAGGGCCTGAGAAATTCCAGGAGTTTGTTTACACTGTTATCTATCAAGAATGTGTGTGTTCTTACAAATTACTCTAAACAGAACAAAACATCCCCATGATTTCAATTGTTTATGTTGACCACCCAAAAACTTAATTATCATCGTTGGAGAAAGATACCTCCAGAAGGTTCTTACATAAATAAAAAGAGTAACATATCGTTTTTTTTTTTTTTTTTTTGTTTTTGTTTTTTTAACATGGTCTCCTGATTTTAAGATGGTCAGGTGGAAAAATTATATATATCAATGTCAAATTTGGGAGGAGGAGTTGTCTATATGAATGACAGTCCCCAGGCCAAGAGAAAGAAGGGGGAAGCTGACAACAAGGAAGGTCGACACATATTTGTTCCAGTCATAGCTGGAGTGAAAATACAGAGACAGACAGGAATTTGTCCGACAAGGTGTTATTACACACAAGAAACGCACCTGCATTTCCGATGGTCTGAAGCATAAGCATAACCAAAGAATTGCAGTTGTGACTAGAATCTCCAAATCACTATTCCTGCAGTAGAATACTTGATTTGCAGTAGCTAATAGACATCTTATTCAACCAGTTTTTTTTTTTATATATATTAAATAAACCTGTTGTTAGAATTATCAACAGTGTTGTGAATTTTATTGAAGGAGTTCTTATTCTAGCCTGACTTTAGAAGTTGCACTCTGACATAAAGAGACAAGAGTTTACCATGGCTGCAGGCAGGAATTATGCAATCTTGTCTATGGTACACAATGTGTATAAGGGGTTCACCATCAATGCCAATATTATAGGATTTTGGGAAGCCTGAGTCAACCCCCATCGAGATGACACTGGGCTCCAACTGCAGAGGGATAAGAAAGCTGGAGGACCCATATGGTCAGTATTATTCAACAAGGCTAGTGGAGTTAGTCACTTACAACTAAGAGGAAAATAAGAAGAGACAGTGCTCAAAGCTGGGGAGTGTAGTGTGTTAGTTGAGAAATGATAGATATGTCAACAAAAAAGGGTTGTCAATAAAACATTGAGGGTTACATTTGGAACCACGTCAACATTGTATTTATGAGGGTTACACCATCACTCCCTTGACAATGTTTATTTACAAGATTATAAAAATATGTGAACCAAGTACAATGCAATATTTATTATTTACTATTTTATAAAGAAGTAAATGTAAAAAGAGATTTTTTTTATTCAAAAAATTTTAAATGTTACAATATTATCAAAATAGGTAAACCATCTACAATGCAATATTTATTTATTTATAACATTGCGTCCCTCCGTGAGTTCATCCAGTCTTTCTGTCCAATGTCCACTATTGATATTGATCACTTTTATTCAAGCCTTTCACTATCTAAATTAAATTTAAATCATAAGTCTGGCAAGAGTCAGTTGTCAACAGGAATCATTAAACTAGTCCAGACCAGACAAGTAAAAGGTGCACGTCACAAGATAAGTTGTAAAAAAAAAAAAAAAAATACAATATTTTATGACACTCTTTATACAGAGCTGGTAATACAAGTTTTGTTCCCCATACAAGATTATATAGGTTCTTCATGCAGGCATATTTTAACATTCAGTCACCCTTCCCCCATTCGAATATTTAGTGACACCCTTGTTCGCTGTGATTAAGTCTAGATAAATACTCTGGAACACAGATTGAAGTTGGGGGCTTTCTTCAATGACAGGAATTTTGTGGAATCTCTTTCTCTCTCTCTCTCTCTCTCTCTCCAATCTTCTCTTGTGTATAAGTTTGCAACACTCACATTCGTTATAGTTGAGTTTGTTAACAATGTTTTTGGAGCGTGGTTGAAGTCAGAGGTCTTCTTCAGGCAGGAGTCCTGTGGCATCAGCTGAAGCAATCGTCAGCAGCTCAATCTCTCTTCTCTCTCATTATTGACCTTTGTCTCCATTTTCTCTGCAAGCATTCTGCTTTTTATGGGCCCCAGCTCCTGCCTGGGGAACAGTGGGGTCTTATGGTTTTTTCCAATTCTTGGACTAATTAACTAAATTCTAACAAAGTTCCTTTGTTTAGAATTTTTCTGTTACATCCTTAATTTTTCTAAATTTGGAAGTTATCTATTCCACAGGTAGAGGGTACAGGCCTGGCTCCTCCCAGCTACACCTGCTGCCTTAAATTCATGTCTCCCACCAGCATTTCTGATTGGCAGTGACCACTCTCTCTTCCATCCACCTGAAACTTTTATTCAGAATTTCATAAAAATATCAATGAAAGAAATGCCTGGAAATGCATGGAAAATCCATTTTTTTTTTATATTTATAATTACAGTTACTTGTCATTATCTGTTTATTTAAATTTTCATTTTTGACAAACATTTTTTATAAATTTATAAATAAAAAAAAAAAATTATTTTCATATTTATTTCTTTATAAATTGATAAACATTGCATTGTATTAGTTTGCATTTTTAGAATGTTCTAAATATAAAATTATTCTTGTAAATAAACAATCAAATTAAATAGTGTTTAATATTTTTGTTGTGAATTCTCAAAGAACAAAGGAAATGTATAAATTCACTTTCATATGTTTGGGTTTTATTAGAATTCTAATCATCATTTTTTAAAACAATGAACATTGTCAAGGAGTGAAGGTAGTTAAAATAATAGTGGTGTCAAGGGAAGAACTGTCCTTTTGACACATTGTTTTATTGCAGGCACAAAGTTTAAAGATTTCCAATTTTTCTGTTTCCTCTTAAAATGGAAAGGGGTCTTATATTCTATCAAAAATGTCACTTGTCCCAAAAATGTATATGATGAAAATATTTAATCTTGGAACGTTAAAAAAATGTAATATTTTCTTTTCATTTCTGATATTAAGTTTCTCTTGTGTTGCAGGGACAAACAAGGACCATGAACTCTTGATTGATGCTATTCATGAAAATGCATGGGAAATGGCACTGAAACCTTTTCTACAAAGGTACTTGGCTAAAAAAAAATCATTCTGTTCTTGCTTTAAAGGGCTCTTACAACGTATCACATTAATAATCATCATCTGTAATTTTTAGATGCACTATTATCATTTCAAGAATATTTTGAACTCTGGCCTTTTCAAAGTGTACAATTTGTATAGAAAGAGGTGAAAGGGGTTTCTTTTTTTATATTGTAATTCATTTATTATTACACAATTTTTTCTTTTAGTTTCTTAAACCACACTGACATCAGTAGTGGAGTTGATTAAGATTTAGCCAAATCCAAGTACAGTTGCTTATAAACAAAAAATTGTGTACTTATTGAAGTAATTACACTTATTTAGTGAATCATTTTAAACTAGTATCCTCATTTTTATTATTTCAATCACTATATTTTGTCTGGTAGGTTTACTTGGTTTCATCAACTTGATTTGTCTGTTACTGCAAATTTACAGCACATTTTGTATTGCTTGTATCAGGAGTTTGAAAGAAAAAGATATGAACCTCATCAGATTTTAGATACACCAGCATGGAGGAGAGAGATGATGAACCTATCAGCTAAAACAGAAGAAGGAAATTACTGGAAAGTAATTGAAACTCACCTGAAGTGAGCTGGATGTGTAATGCTACTCATGCCAATGACACTTCCACCGAGCTTCTCTATGGCATATGACTTCACTGAATTTCTTTTGATGTGTTCCTCTCGAATCTATATTTAAACTGGGGTCATCAGGAGAGAATGTGCACCGTTTTGGGGGCTTCCTCTCAACGGTTTCCGTTGCACACCGGCCCCCTCCTCACTGATGTGAGGCCCCATTATAGCGATATACAAGTGTTGTAGATAAACTAGTTCAAATGTCAAAATTAAATTTACGATAATTCAAAAAAAACGGCAAACCTCGTGTCCTGAGAATGCAACGTGAACATCATTACGCATTCATGATCAGTCATGTCATGCCATCATGTTCGCTGAAACACTCCTCGGAGTATTTCGTTTTTTTCCATATCCACATAGAACTATTCTCAGTTACTTCTATTAGGCGTTTTATACTTTTGGCCCTATTACGCCCTTTGATTCCAATTTGGCCCAGAAATTGGTACAGAGTGCCTGAAACGAAACCCCTTGCTTCAATTTCCACTGCTCTAACAATTGCATTATACCCCTCCTTTATTAGCTCTGATTTTAGATTTTCATATTTATTAGTTTTAAAATAACATGTTAAAACATCATATTAGTTAAAACATCATGTAGTGAATGAATGATTTATTATATGCAAACAAATCATCTTAGAACTTCAGAGATTATATGTGCCTACATTATAAGTGTATTGCTCTGAATTAATTACTTTACTTATCATAATTACAGTAGCACTCATAAATCTGTTAGGATATTAAAATGAAAAAATTATAAATTTAGAAACTTGTACCATTTATGAAATTAGCCAAAAAACAGTATATACTTTTAAATTTTTGTTTTTTGTTAAATTTGTTTGTACAAAATGGATTCCCATGCAAACACCATTTAAAATAGTTATCATGTGCCAAAAATGTTTGTGTCTATTTTTTAGGATCGAAATTTGTTCGGTGAAAATGGCAGCAACTGATGATGAAACAGAAAAGGATGAGTTTGAACAGAAAATAGAAGACATCGAATTAGAACTGGAAATTGCCCAGTGAGTTCACTCACTCTCTCTCTCTCTCTCTCTCTCTCTCTCTGACACTAAATTACTTGACACTAAATTACTATACAAGATGTCTAATTACAATATAAATACAAGCTTTCATCAAAAATTGAATACTTTTGTCTAAAATTTTATTTTTAATCAGTGCATGAATATTATGCTATAAATTGATAATTCTCCATGAAACCACTGTTTTATTATTACTAATGTTCATGAATCATTTTTAAAATTTCTTTCTCAGACAGCAAGATATTAATGAAATTATCATGAAAATTGATGATGAAAAATTTGACTGGATGAAAATTAGCAATCTGACAGTAAGTAAACACATTTTTTAAAATGTTTTTACATTTAGATTTACTTGATCAAATGCTTTTAACTAATACACAATTCTTATGACTTGGTAGGTAGTGTATCATGTGTGTATCCTTGTAAAATCTGTTATTTCCAACCGGTTTAGAAGTTAAATGTGGAAATCAACAAAATGTCTTTATAAACAAACCTACAAAGATATGTGAACTTAATTGTTTTGATTAATTTGTGTATTCTGTACTTGTCAGCAGAAGTGTTCCACTCAAACTCCTTTATTCATAAATATGTGTATGTACACACGCACACACATTGGATGATATGAAATGACATAACAATATATATTTTATATATTATGAACAATATTGAGGAAAAATGTATGACAAAGTGGATAAAAATTTTCTTGTGATGCATTTCGTCCTTTATGAGTTCATCAGACTAAATTTTTTATGTTGGTGCAACTACATATGTGCATGAACGTGGGATGCTGGGATTTTTTTAAAAAAAAGTTTAAATTTAAAATTCCTAGCATACCTCATTCATGCACATGTGTAGTTGCACTAACATAACAAATTTAGTCCGGTGAACTTGTAAAGTACGAAATGCATCACAAGAATTTTTCCCCAGGATATGAAATATAAATCTATATATCAGTCTAATAGTGGATAATTGAATAGCAAGCTGGAAAAAACTCCTAAGTAATGTTTCATCCCTAGAAGAAACTAATCATGTTTTTTTTTTTTTTATCAATGGAGTCAATCTTATGGTGATTTTCTAAGCATAGTTTAGATGTGGCCCAAGTCTGAAAATATGGGGCACTCAGTGAAAATCAAACTCGCTACTCAGTCGTAATTCATCTAGCAAGATAAACTTGTTAACCAATACACCACGGCAAACAGTAAGGGAGAGTGCAACAAAAGCCAGTACATAAAATGTTAAACGTACAGAGATGCTTAACCTTAAATTTTAAACTGTTTAACAATAGATTTGACCATTGATGTTTTGATGACTGTCAGTATTGACTGTTGGTGTTTTACTGACACTGGTATGAATCTGGTATTCAGTTTCTAATTTTCAAGAACACTTGGAAGTTTTGCACAAACTTAATGCTTATAAATGATAACAAGTGCAAATCTCTGCTTCAAGCTGAGAAATTGTTCTCAGTAGATGATGCTTTTCAGGTCTTTAGTCATTTGTAAATGAATTCTCTCTGAACAGATGATATATGTAATAATGTCCTAGATTTGTATTGAATAACACATGATTATTCACTTTTTTCTATTTTTGCTTTCTAGTTTGATGGAAAGCACAGTGATTTTTCTTGTCGTTTGATGTGGAAAAACTGGCTTCATCCTAGGTTGAACAAATCTCCATGGACCCAGACAGAAACCACAAAGCTAAAGGAACTGGTGGATTTACATGGATGTAATCAGTGGAAACTCATTGCTGAAGAACTTGGGGTATGGTCATCATTGGCATTTTTGTTTGGTTTGTGGGTTTATCTGTTTTTTTTTGGGGGGGGGTAACAATGTGATATTGGCATAGATTAAAATTAGGTACTCAGATGAAAATAATGAGATATTCAAGATTTAATTTTAAGGAACAAATGTTGCTTGTCTGAATTTACTCAGATTGCATCCTGACAATCAAATCCTATAATATTAGCAGATTGAGAAATTTTTATTGTAGTCTGCAGGACTAGTGTGGGTTTGGAGAGAAATAAAAAAAAATATTTGAAGATGATAGGTTGGAGTGCAGTTAGTCTTATAAAATTTTTAGACTTATAAGGCATGCTTTTCTTTTGTGTTTTTGGGTTAAGTATCTGTTTAATGTTTAATCTAGATTCTGTTCAAAGCCATACAATGATGAGCAGATAAGGAAACAATAACTGACTACATTTTGAAATAGCTGCAACTATTTGCCCTGTCTTGATGATGGAAATATGGTCAGTTCCCTATACTGCTCCAATAAGTACCTGACTCCTCCTGCTATGTTCTACCTTTACAAGAGCCAGATCAGACCAAAAATGAAGTATTGCTGCCATATCTGAAGATGCTCAGTCTTGATAGATGTCAAAAGTGTCTATGCAGCCTTATGGGTGATGAATTGTTTTCCACCTTACAACTCCTTTCCCACAGACAAAATAGCAAGCCTCTCACTACTCTACTGCTGTTTCCATGGAAAATGTTTAAAAGAGCAACATTCTTTAGTTCCTCCAACTATAGCTAAGACCTGCCACGCCGCATACTTTGAGACAAACCAACCTCATTCCCTTAGTATTCCTTTAATAAGGAGTAGGTTCAACTCAGATCATTTCTCCCCAAGAACTGTTGCTTTGTTGAAACAGAATCCCAGGAGGATGCTTTCCCAGCTGCTACAATCCTTACCTCTTCAAGTATATGGTTAACTGTTATCTTTCACACATTTCCACATAAGCTGCACCCTCTACTCTTACTGCACACACAACAACCACCTTCAGTAACCCTCAACCTTGAGTGGCTCTTGGGTATTGTATAGAGTTAACATTACTAAAAAGCAGCAAACTCATTTTTAGAGTTTAAATAGACTATAAGTGTTGGACCAGATACATATATGCAATAACATTGTTAGTGATAGTGTAACTTTGGCTCTCTTGTTTGTGACAGTTGTTTAAAATCTATATTGCTTACTCCTAAAATAAATAGAATAAATCCTTTAAGAATTCTTGGAATATGTTTTGTTATTAGAGGTACTATAGAATGTGATTATAAATATAAAGGTACCAGTACTCTGCCAATTGTAACTGCAGCAGGTAGTTTGAATCTAAATATAGACAAGTCCTTTAATAAGAATATATTCTGAACTTTATTAAGACTGCATTTTCTTGTAAAGAATGCCAAAGAATATTATCTGTTTTTATGATATTGTATATTTCTATAGTTTTATTTAAAAAAATATTTATGTTGACCAAACTGCATAGAAACAAAAAAAATAACAACCTTTCTTTTCATGGTTAAAATCTTTTAACTAAAGTAGAGGTCAATATTTATTAAAGAGTCTTGTATGAATGCTATAAAATTATTACAGCATATATAATGAAGTATTTACTAGAAGTTGCTCATCAAAAATAAGATTAAATGGAAGGAAAAATTCTGTTAAATACAAAATGGTATTTTCTTCAAGGTTCTGTAGTACTGAAATAGCTTTGCTAAATATTAGCAAAATGTTGAAGTGCTTCAAAGTTTTAAAAAAAAAATGTTACTTTTATGTCCGGAATGATGAATATGTATAGCAAAACTTCATGACAAAAAAAAAATTTTTTTTTTAACTTAAAACAAATTATTGGATTTTGTCTTTAGTTAAATAGGTAAAGTTTTATATCCTATTTAATAATATCAAGATTATTAAATAAAAAAATAAAAGTTCTTCCTTGTGTCTGACTTATTCTCAATGTATTTACAATATAAAGAGATTATACTATCGTGTTTATAACTCATTATAGACATCTACATACCAGAAAATATCCACATACACTTAGGTATGATGTATTACTTGCTAATAAATTGATTTTAAAATCGACCTATAAAACATTAGAAAACAAAAACAGTTAAAGATAACGGTGAAATAAAATTCTTTTGATTTGCCTTCTCACAAATTTGTGGAAAGATATTTGGTTTTTTTTTTTTGTTTGTTTGTTTTTTTCTGGATAATGTGTTTTTTAATTCTGTGTATTTTCTAGACAAATCGAACACCCTTCCATTGCCTGCAGCATTATCGACGAAAATTGGATGCTCAAGTAAGAAGGTATGGTCTATAAAACAAACTTAGTAAAGCACACAGATATTATGACAAAAATACTTATTTTAAATAACAAAGAATCAGTAAATTTAGTTGTATGACAATGTAAACTTATGTCCTGAAAAAGCAACCCCCCGCCAACAAAACTAATGAATTGAAGTGATAAAAATTCTTTGAAATAAGTAAATTAGTATTGTATTTAAACATTTGTTGTAGCCAATTTGGCAGACCTGTAATTAATGATGGACTAATTAGTGTTTTATCTTATTTGTCTGATGCCATTTTGCTATAATTATGTGATATTATTGCAGCTAAATAAAGCAATGTTTTGAGAATTGAAAATGGCTTTTATATAACAATATGGCTGCTCTGCTGTAATGGTTGAGGCTGTTGTAACAGCAACCATGAGAGGAGCAAATGTTGTGCTCAGCAACAAAAAGAAAGACTGTCAGTTGTTGCTGGGAGATGAGATTCAATTGACGATTTATCACGAATATGGCTACTATTAGTGATATATGGGTACCTAAAGACAGAAGCTTTTGGTTTTTTTTATCCATGCTATTGAACATCTCTCCATGATACTGTTACATAAATGGTTGGTTTAGTTGAAGTCATGAAGTCTGTTTCAGTCTGAATAATAACTAAGTACCAAGAACGTCCAATATTTTTTTTTATATATATATATATATATATATATATATATATATATATATATATATATATAGTAAATGCGAAAATGTCTCCGTGTGATGCTTTTTTCAATCAAAGGAACACAACTCTAACTTTTAAATAAGACTTAAATAAGTCATCTTCTTCAAATGAGACTTGTTCATCTGGGATTGGAACTGAATCCTCAGACTGCAAATTTAGCTCTCTGTGAAATTGAAGATAAAGTGATGAAGTTGGCTCAGAGAGATCTCAACAAGAGATCTCGACAATTTGGTCTGCCAAGTCCAAGCAGAGGCCTTGGTCAAAACACTCAAAGACGGTAAACAGAATTCACAAATCATGGGGTGCGTTACTGTGCTACTCTCTGGTGATTTTAGACAAACATTACCAGTCATTGCAAGAGGAACTCCAGCTAATGAAATCACTGCTTGCCTGAAAAATTCTTACATCTGTTGCCATGTTCAAAGATTCAGCCAGAAAACAAAAATGAGAGTTAGAATCACAGGTAACCTTGAAGCAGGAACTGCTTTGTTGTTGCAGCTTGGAAATGGAACCATCAAAATGGGCAAAAACGGAGATATATCACTCCCAAATGGCTGTGAAGTTTCAGTCTCAAGTATCCAAGACTTGATTAACCATGTTTATCCAGACATTAAATACCATTTCGTGGATTCAGACTGTGAGAGAGCCATATTAGCTCCCAAGAATCAAACTGGATAGAATCAACTGGAAACTTCTCCAAGAAATTACAAAAGTAAGCATGAAGTACTTTTCCATTGACACTGTGGTTGAACAACAACAGGCAGGGAATTATCCAATAGAGTTCCTGAACTCATTGAATCCTCCTGGAATGCCATCACACAAGCTGGAAGTAAAAGAAAATGCGCCAGTTATGCTATTGAGAAATTTGGATCTTCTAAAGCTTTGTAATGGAACAATGTTAATTGTCAAGAGGATGTTTCCTCATCACTTGGAAGCAGAGATCCTTACTGGTCCAGGAAAGGTGGAAAGAGTTTTAATACCAAGAATCTCCTTAATTCCTCCAGATCTTCCTTTTGTGTTCAAATGACTTCAGTTTCCAGTGTAAGTGAACTATGCAATGTCAATCAATATGCCCCAAAAACAATCATTGAAAGTCACTGGACTTCACCTAATGGAACTCTGCTTTTCTTACGGCCATCTCTATGTTGGTTGTTCAGGGGTTGGGAATGGAAACAAGCTATTTGTACTAACCCCAAATGGGGAAAACCCAAAATGTTGTTTATCATGCAGTTTTACTATAAGTTCCAAATAAACAAATTATATCATTGTTTTGATGAAAACTGTTGTTTGAAAAATATCATTCAAGTTCAAGAAAATTTAATATGTACTCAATGCAGGGAGTGTTATTTTTTACTCAAAGGCCCGATCAAGAGCCCTCCACAGGAAATAGCTTAAATGCTGCCTGCCTCTGTGTGTGTGTGTGTGTGTCTGTGACTAAGTTATAATGATAATAGTAATAATCAAATAAGAAAACCTTAAAGATTCATTTCAGTTATAATTTATTTTGTGAATATCATTTATATTCATCTCTTCAGACTGAAAACTTTTAATAAATAGACAATTTCCCTAAACTGATATACTAGATTGACAGGGGGAAGGGAAAGAAGGAGAGGAAGAAGGAAAGTGACAGATTGTAAAGTTCTTTTTAAAATGTGAAATAGTGAAGAGGGTAAAGAAAGAAAAGAGAAGGAAGTGATGAAGGGATAGTAGTAAGCCTAAAATAAATTGACCTGGCCAAGAATTTCTTCCCTTAATGTGTGGAACTTTGTACATAGGGTTACACAGCAAATTGACAGATATGGCCTGTTATTTTAGGCTGGACAAATCAACAAAATTACAAATTAGTTAGTCTATAAAAAGTATAAATATAATAATGATAACAATATCAAACATAAATAGATGGATTTTAAATACAGATAGACAATAAAAATAAAATACTGAGTAAGATGATGTATGGATAATAATACAAAAGATGTTAATTTAGCATTATAGATGTTGTATACATTGGCAAGACAATCATAGATCTAACTACATATAAAAAAACACAAAATGCATGACACAATATAAACATACATACACACATACATACATACATACACACACACATATATATATATATATATATATATATATATATATATAAAATGACACACACATACACATGAATACATGTTTACTTATATGTGCTAGCACCCATATAAGCAAAGCAAAATTTAAAGTGTGCATCCCCCAAAAAAACAAAGATTTAGGGAATTTTAAATTTGTTGTCTACACTTGGGAATCAGTTTGTGGCTTTGATTTACCAACTGGTTAGCATTTATGTTTTTGATAATAGCAATTTTCTCTTGTATCATGCAGTAATCAGATACAGAAATAGTATTTAGTGGAAAGTGCTCAATATCCATGATAGAGCTAACATATGCAGTTGCATGGATAGTAATTTATAACACTGAGGTTCACAAAGATCGTTGAAGTGTGAAACCCAGGTGTTACAAACGTGTGTGTGTGTGTATATATATATATATGTATATGTGTGTGCACATGTGTATATATGTTTGTGTGTGTGTATATGTGTGTGCACATGTGTATATATGTTTGTGTGTATATGTGTGTGCACGTGTATATATGTATGTGTGTGTATTTTATTATATATATATATATATATATATATATATATATATATATATATATATATATAACATACCCCATGAATTAGGTAAACTGGCAAACTCCTTCTGGATTGAAAAACATCCAGAAACGCTTACATCCCAAATTCACCAAAGAATTAAAAGATACACTTTTTCTTTGTTGGAACAACTATAACCTCTTGTGTGTGTGTGTGTGTATTTGTGTATGTATATATGTGTATATATATATATATATATATATATATATATATATATATATATGTGTGTGTGTGTATATATTTGTGTATGTATATATGTGTATATATATGTGTGTGTATATATATATATATATATATATGTGTGTGTGTGTGTGTGTGTATATGTACGTATGTGTGTATGTATATATGTATAAATGTGTGTGTATATATATATGTATATATATATATATAACAATTCCCAAGAGGATAGAATTCAATGTCCAGGACAGAGTAAGAATATAATATAAAAGGCTCAACCACTAATATTACAATATTCCATGGTTATAATTTATTACATTGGAATCATAATCACGATCCAATTCATCAGACCTACAGATTCAAAAAGAAATCGGAAAATATATTGTACTCGGAGTTATATATAATGTAATGTATTCGACTGGAATTCGAACTCAGCTTTCCGGTTCCGCCATCTGGGCTGCTATCCATTACTCCACCATGCCTCTTCTGTGCTTACATTCACTTACGTGTTTATACCCTCGGGAAAGGCATGAATCCTCTTTATCCCCCCCAGCTGTGTGTAAACAGCAGGACAGAATGGGTTCTATAGCCTTGGATGGCAACTGGTCTAGGAGAAGTACATCTCTGAATTCAAAAACTGCAGAGGCTTTTTTTGCATACTTTGGGCACATGGTGCACCAGGTCATTGTATTCGACCCTTCAGAAAGTGTAGTTGGTTTTGCACAAACCTTCACCACTATAATCAAATCATGTGCAGGTTGTCTGTCTGTCAGTTCCTAGGAACTGAGCTGTCTGACTCTCATACATCATAAAAGAATTCCCAGTATGTGTGGGTCAACAGCCCGTGTCAAGCAATGATGGGAGAGTCCACAATGTACATATATATACACACTAGATGGGCATACATGTCTTATTCTTCCTCTCTCCCTTGTCTCAATTTTTCAGTAACATTGTTTTATTTAATCTTACATCAGCCAGTGTCAAACCTCTCAGCAGCTTTTTTCACCATGTAGATAATCATCCATTGTTAGGAAAGAAAATTGACTTTAACCTTTAATCAGTAAATAATTAATACCGTCTGATCATTACAGGAGTCTTTGGACAAATGCTGTTGTTAGATATAGGTTAGGCAGTGATAGAATATTTTTGACAAATAGGAGAAATATGAAATTTTGGTTATTCATGCTTCATGAATGATTTAGTATTTATTTTGTAATTTTTTTAATGTTACTTTTTAACAGAGATTGGACAGAGGAAGAGGACAAAATCCTGAAAGAAGTCATAGAAACATGTCGAATTGGAGACAGTATTCCATGGAATCAAGGTATGTCCTTAAATATATATGTGTATACTTAATATTTCTTCTTATAAGACCAAAGAGCATTGGTGTTTCTTTTCCTTTAGAGAGTTAAACTGCTGCATCTGCCTTAGAAGCAAATACTTATTATGTTTCTATTAAATCTTTTTCTCTCTTTTTAATTATCTCTCTGTTATGTTGTTGATTTGGGGTTAGTAGAGACAAACGCCAAATAACACGTAACAATAAAAAGGGTTTTAATACGTTGGTAAAAAGGTACAGAAATTGCCTGAGTAGTCAATAACTAGCTCAGCTAAGAACTTCTCTGTCTATCTATCTTCTCCATGTCAACTGACATGCCACTATTTAAAGTCTTTGTTCACAGACGCAGACAAGTTCATCTTCAAGAGGGGTGGTAGGTTTCCGACACAACACTCTCTATTCTCAAGTCTGACCTGATTATCTTTATTTTGGACTGATTTGAAGAAATTATAAAATAATGAAATATTGACCATGTTTAACCTTTGAGCCAACAAAAAAACAGTGTCAAATGAACTGTTACCCTCTTGACACTGCTAATACTATCTACAGCTTTGACTTCAGCAATATTCATTGTTTTAAAAAGCAAGTATTAGAATTTTAATGAAACCCAAATATATGAAAGTGGATTTACACATTTTCTTTATTTTTGTGAATTTTAAACAAAGATATTAAACACTTTATTAGATTATTTACAAGAATAACTTTATATTTTCAAGATTATAAAAATATGTGAACCAATTAAAATAAAATATTTATTATTTAACATTTCATAAAGAAATAAATATGAAAAGAAGTTTTTTTTATTCATAAATTTATAAAAATGTTTGAATAAGAAAATTTAAATAAACACATAAAGAGCAACTGTAATTGTAAATTTTGAAGAGATGAATTTTCCAAGCATTTCTTTCATTTGCTCTCGTCACATAAATTCACTAAAATAGATTGAAAGCATCTCTTTCTCTTGCATATTTTGATAATTTTTGAAGAAAAAGATTTCTTTACAAAGTTATTTCTTTATAAAACAGTAAATAATAAATCTTTATAAAATGTAAAGTATAACTATTACAATGTACTTGCTTTACATATTTTTGTAAAATAAACATAAGGGAGTCAAAAATGTATACAATAATAGCAGTATCAAGGGAAAAGATGTCTATTTGACACACCATTTTTTTTTGTGTGTGTGTGTGTGCATGAAGGTTCAATATTGTCAAAATATTTTTCCTGTAATAATACTTTAAAACATACAGAATAGAACCTGTAGATTAAGGTACATACAAGGTCTAATCAAAAAGTATCAGAGCTGGTGATATGGTAATGAAGCTAAAGTATGCAAAGTGAAGCTCCTTAGCACAGATTGACCTTGAACTCTGTAGCACATACACACCAAGTTATAACACTCACTTCTGTTGTTTATAGCAGTACTTGGAAGGAAAATGTGTGAAATGTGGTCGTCTCACCATACCAGATGTTGCATCAGTCAGCATGTGAAGCAGTTTTTGGCTAAGGACAACATTCCCCAAGTCTGATAACCACTATATTCTCCAGATCTCACCCCTTGCAACTTTTTACTCTTTCCAAAAACAAAATCCCACTTGAAAGGAACAAGATTTCAAGACATAAAGGAAATCCAGGAGAATGTAACAAAGCAGCTGCTCGCTATCCCCCAAAAGTAGTTCCAGGAATGCTTCCATCAATTAAAACAATACTCAATAAAGTGTGTGTCTTCAGAAGGAGACTACTTTGAAGGAGATTAAATGCTAAATTGATGTGTTGTAGTTTTCTTTTCATCACACCAGTCCCAACAGTTTTTGCTCAGACCTCATATATACACAGGCAGGATATTTCAAAAGAGGTATACACTCTTTAATAAGACATGGACTTCAATGCTATTTCTGTACAATCTTATCTTTCTGTAGAAATTTATTTTACATCATATATGACCTCCTTCGCCCCCGTCCCCACCAAGAAACATGACTCAAGAAGTTGACTAGTATATATAAAAGTGAGACCCTTCTGTAAGTCAATATTTACTGCCACATTGCATACATTGAGGTGAACCCCTCTTATTCCTTTAGTATGGAGTAGATTCCACTTGCATAACTTCTTCTCAAAACTGTGGCTTTATAGAACAGAATTTCAGGAGGGTGCTTTCCCAACCACTACAATCTTAACTTGTTCAAGTCTAGGTGTAACCATTATCTTTTCCACATAAACTGCACCTCTTAATCTTACTCCTCACAAGCGACTACCTTTAGTAACCCTCTACTTTGAGTGGCCCTTGTGCTGTGTATAGGGTGAACATTAGTAAAAAAAAAAATAATAATAATAAATAATAATTATAGTAACAAATAAATAGTTAATAATAACAAAAATTATTGCCAGAATGTGTATATTTACATATTTGTCCTCAAATTTTTTTCACTATTTTCTAATTATAAATTACTTTAGAATTAGTAAAAATGTTGGTGAAATCTATGGTGCAATTTTTTTCCAAAATTAATGGGTCTTATTTTTTATTATTATCATCATCAATTCATTTTCTAATCATTACATAAGACTTTGATAAAAGTATAACTATTTTATTTTGTTGTGAAACCTTTTGTTGCTTTTCATTTTTCAGTCTCTTTCTACATGGAAGAGCGAAGTGCTGATGCTTGTAGTAAAAGATGGTCTTTCTTGAACCCAGCTATAAAACATGGACGTTGGACAATTGAAGAAGATTCAGTGAGTATTTAGATTCCACACTTTCTTCTCTCTCTCTCTCTCTCTCTGTTTTTTTTCTTTTTTTTTTAGGCGCATGTGGGTAATAAGCATAAAATTGATCATGCATACTGTGACGCCATTCGTGGCATAATTGTAACAATGTTCTCTGATCGTCCATCAGTCACTGCACCTGTGATGACATCCAAGGTTGAGTGTATTTGCATATACACCCAACTCGCTATGTGCACAGGTTCACCTTCTCGGCCGTGATTGCTTTCAACAAAAAATGAAGACAATTGTTTTTCAAGACTCTTATTGGAAGTAGCAACAATGTGATTTCTCACTTAGCTGGCTATCTTTCCCTTTGGCTGAACTTCTATCTCACTAATTTCACTGGCCTTCTGGCTCAGCAACACCTGATTCCCCACTACCAATGCTTCTGTCACTGGCCGCTGGGCAGCTCCAACTCCTCTGGTCATCTACCTACTTATCTCATGACTAAACCCACTTTCCTCCCAACTTCATGCCTCTCTCTGCTTATATGGATAATACTGGGGTCCCACCCCCTCCATCCACTTGTGTTTTCAGAAGACTTGGGACCACTCCAAAGCCCCATGGGTGGTCAATTCTTCAAAGAACTACCTTTATGACTATCCAAAATCATTTGTAAAATTTTTATGCTTCCCAATTCAAAGGCGAACTGGAGACATGAATTCTGAAACACTAACCTCTGTGATCACTCAAGATGGACTAGAGACAAAATTCTTACAAAACTCCAATAGCTGAGTGGCCTTGAAAGGAAGGAATTTGTCTCCTTCTCTTCTAAAGATGTGTAAAAAATTATATTGTTACAATACACACACACACACACACACACACACACACACACACAAGTGCAATACTAGAAAATTGCATGAAACTGACAGTCACCATACAATGTTGATCCTCTCTGTCTCTTTCTCTCTATCGTGTGTGTGTGATAGTGCAGAGTGAGTGCTGGTGGTAATAAGACAGTGCTTGATATAGAATAAAAGAGCTAAAATTTATACTATATATATTTTATTTATCAATTTTTTCCCCTACATATAAATATATTTAACATGACTTTTTCTATTTTTACTTGTTGAAATATATGGATTATGTTTCAGCTGCTTTTAGCAGGAGTGAATATGCTTGGAACTACCAACTGGAATCGTCTTAAACATTTAGTACCAGGACGTACTATAGCCCAGTGCCGTGAAAGGTGAGATCAAATTTTTTACATAAATACACTACTGTCTGCTTGAATTTGTTCTCGTTCATCAGACAAAAGTGTAACACTGATATTCTAACAACTGATGTTTTGGCATGTCTTTTCATTCAAATAAAACTGTAAGAAAGTATTTAAAATTACTGTAGCTGTTGAACTAATTTATGCGGTTGGGCAATGAATTTGCTGATGATTTTTGTTTTGTAGAGTTTTAAGTGTTTTGCTTTTATTTAAATATGTCAGTAGCATCCAAAAGGGATACAAGAATCATTGGTGTTAAGCATGTGACACAGTTGACTTTAGTGTCTCTAGATGGAAAGATCTATGATGATGTTAGTGAGTGGATTTACTCCCCATAACATGAAGATGGTATAAATGAGATTACCATGAGGGAACAAAAGAAAATGCTATTGAATTGGAAACAAGTGAAGAGAGAAAGGTGTTGCAAGATTAATTAATAATTGGTAGCTATTTCCAAATCATCTCTATAATTGATTTGATTTCTATGGCTTATCAACCTTTTGTAGGTTATTTAAAGGTAGAAAATATTTTTAGATTGCAAGAATTTTTTTTTTGAGATAATAATGATTTAGTGATACAAGTCTTACTAATGAACCCATAGCTGAAGAGAGAAGAGATGTGAAAAAAGTTCCGTGATTATTCTATTCTCTAGAAAGTTTCAGTGATTGCTGTTATCCTGCACTTTTTTCCCCATCAGATAAAGCATTTTTTTTCAAGATCAATTGACTTTCCAATTCTACAATTGCATCACTCTCCAAGATACTGTTACATAAATGGTTGCTTTGGTTGAAGGCATGAAGTCTGAATAACCGAGTACCAAGAACACCCAACTTCTTTTTATAAAAGTTTTATTTATATATATTATTGGAGGAGTGACCAATAATATATATACAGGGTGTCTGAGAATTAACTACTTCAATGAAATCTGGCAAATTTAAAAAAAAACTGGCACAGTATTATGTTTATTACTTAATCATGGTACAAAACAAATAGATTTATAAATCTATGTCAAAATTGAAATTTTTCAATATGTGCTCTGTCTGTATCCCTTTAAATTTCAAATCTATCCTTAGCATTGCAAAACATATTTTAGAGCATTTCAGGCATTATCTCTTGCACTGCTAACTGAATGCATTCTTTAAGCTCAGCTAAACTATTGAATTTTTAACAATAAACAAAAAAATCCAGGGAGTCAGCAAAGATGCATTCTTGTGTATTCATTATTAATAAGGTCCTAAAAGGAAATGAAAATAGAAAAAAATTATAAAGTTATAAACAAAATTAGAAATTTATACACATCTAAAAGATATTAAACATGATGAACAGAAATAAGAGTGAGTTTTTTTTTTTAAAAAAAAAAGATTGTCCAATATAAGATTTTGTAATTGTAATTATTATATACCTTAACAGCCAGCCTTGTATGATTATTTTGTTTGTTATACTCTCAACATTTCGGCCATTGTAGCCTCTGACCTTGTTCAGGTGTCTGTTGTGCAACATCCCAAATGTTGCAAGTATATCAACTGAAATGAATATATTAGTCTGAATGGAAAGGTATGTAATAATGCTAATTCCACATCTAGAAAATGCTATCCTAAATTTGTAATTGAAGATTTTGTTCGAGGTATAAAATTTAATTATAACAAACAGGGCAGACATAATTAAAAAGGGGAGAACAATATAAAAGAAAGAAATTAAAAAAAAAAAAAAGTGTGAGCTAACCAATTATCACTCCTCACTCATCAGAACTCAAAGAAAATAAGACTTTTTGTGCACCACTAACTAAAAGAAAACCTGGAATAGAAAATGTAATGAATAATATACTAAGATGCTTATATTTTAAAGGCAGTTCACATTAAGTCTCAGCAACCATTCCTTCTGTTTACATAATTATTTAATTATATCCATTCTTTTTACTACAGGGTTTGGCAGAAATACCTCCAATATATACCACCTAGAAACACCTCCCACATAATGGTAAGACAGCAAGATGTAGACTGCATTGTCATTAATGTCTTACCATTATGTGGAAGCTATTTCTGCTATGCCCTGTATAATTAAATTTGTAACTGCCATCTTTGCATTCATTGCTTCATGACTTGGGTCTTGAACTCACAATTTGTATATTTTTGTTGGCTGTTAACTTTTTGCATTATTTATAGTTCAAGTTTTGGATAGAAACAACAGTTGTTTTGTTACACTTGTTAGCACTCTCTTTACCATTTCCTTCTCCATTTCATCATCGGTAACATTATTATTATTAATTTATTTATTATGCATATCTCTTTCTCAATAAAAATGTTTTATCTGTATAACCAGTGTTTGTTTTATTCCAGTACTTCACCAGCAACTTTCTTGTTAGATTTAGTAACTCTTATTATATTATTATCCTCATCATGTTCATTTGTTTATTAGCATTTATTGCTGAATCTCTTGCAAATATAACTCTGTTAATTTTATATGAATCCTCATTGTTTCTCCTTATGATTCTTGTTATTTTTTCTGGTTAAAATAAAACATTCTCCATTTGTTAAAAGTGGTTAAAAGAAGTTTGTGTACACAAAATATTGTCTGTTGGGCAGTGCCTCCTCCTTTATAGTCATCAGTGTATTTTTCAAATTCTTTTTTTTTTTTTTTTTTTTTTCAGATATATAAATTGTCTGGATCCTTGTATCAAGGCTGAAGCTTTTACATATGATGAAGATAAATTACTTCTAAAATTTGTAAAGGAACATGGTAGGTTTCTTTTTCTTTTATTTTTCTTTTCTATTTTTTTTACTTGAAATTTTATTCCACGTTTCATGTATCATTTAAATACTATCGTGTCCATAAATAAATAAATAAAAATTAATTATAGTGTTATAGATTAACATATGAAATTTTAGCATATTTTTTGCAGTGAATAGCACATTGATTTGGAAATTCTTGCAAAAATAAAATAATGGAAATCCTTCTGACCCTTCTAACTACTGTCCCATCAGTTTCCTACCACTCTTCGGCAACGCTAAAGTAGTTAAGAATCTCACTTCTCACAATCTGCTCTCTGACAAACAATATGGTTTCTGCTTTACCCAGTTTACTGCTGATGTGCTTACAGCCATAACTGAATATCTATAACAAGCCCTTGATAACAACGGCAAAGCTCAAGCTATTGTTCTAGATATAGTGAAGGCATTTGACAGGGTTTGGCATGCTGGCCTTCTACATAAGCTTCAGGGATACAGTATTACAGGATGATTATTTGATTTAATCCAGTCATTCCTGTTTGAAATGAATGGGTTCTCTTCCCATTCCTTCCATACGAACGCTGATGTTCCTCAAGACTCTATCCTTGGGCCTACACTGCTTCTGATCTTCATCAGTTCTCAAGTAGACATCTACGCAGTATCTCCTCCCATTAAGGTTCACCATCTGAAATGGCCACAGTGACCGGTGCATGCGTACCTGCAAGTAGGCCTTTCGAAGGTCAATCACAAAGACATTGGATCCCTTCCTTCGCCATTCTCTCAATTTTTGTGCACCCACATCAGCATGAGCCGTGTATGTGTCTATGTGTTCGTTCAGTTCTCTATAATCTAGTACAGGGCGCACTTTTCCCTTGTTCTTCTGTACCATGGTCATCAAGAAAGTTTCTTGACAAAATTCAAAGATAGATGTGATTGGTCTTGACTTGGAGCACAGTGTTAGATGATGGATAACATGTTTCAGCAAAGGTGACAGTGACATTTTATTATTTATTATATATATATATATATATATATATATATATATATATGCTAATGTTCACCTAATACAAGGCACAAGAGCCACTCAAGGTAGAGGATTACTGTACAGTATTGTGTGAATATAAGAGAAGGCAAGAAGTGCAGTTTATGAGGTTATGTTGGAAAGATAATGGTTAAATGCTAAACTTGAAGAGATCCAGAATGTAGTAATTGGGGAAAACTCCTACTGGCAGTCTATTCCACAAATCAGCAGTTCTTGGGAAGATGCTGTCCAAGTGAAACTTTATACTAATGGAGTGCAAAGATAATGGGGAGGATTCAACCTTGTGTAAGGAGCATGGTGGATCCCAGCTGCAAAGGTCATGTCCGATGGAACCAAGGAATGTAATTCATCACTTGCTATGGAAACAGCAATAGAGCAGTGAGAAGCTACCTATATGTGCTATATAAGTTATAGTTTCCATGGAAATAAGTAGGAAGAGAATCCCTTGTGTGTGTATTGCAATGAGAATTTGGGGATTAATTGTTAATTCTTAGGAAACACAAATAACTAGCATCATAGCATTATGAATGTATCTTTGGTTTAATGGTCGTTTCTTTATTTTCTCTCTCTCTCTGTCTCTCTCTCTCTCTCTCAGGTTACAACTGGGCAACTGTTTCTGCCATGCTTCCTGGACGAACAGATGGTGCCTGCCGGAAACAATACGAAAAACTCAAAAAATGGGAAACACAATCACAATATGTGTCGAAACAGAGTGTAAGAGTTTTTTATCTAAAAAGAAAACAGTTTGAGCATTTTTATTGTTTGTCACAGATTTTACAAGTACACTTTATTAATTTTGAGAGTATTCTTTGTATTTTAAAGATCATAGAAAAACATAAAATAATTTATATAGTTACATGTGCTACCTATTTTTGTTGTTGCTGCTGTTGGAAGTTTTCAAATAAACTTTTTATTATTCGATAAAACTCTTCATTTGTAATTTTTGTAGTGCAAGTGTATAGATGCTTAGGAAAAAATTGTCTTTATGATTTAAAGGATTAATTTGTTTGAAGCTATTTTTAACTACTGATCTAAATGGAATCATTAAAAGTACTTGTATTTGCCAGCCAATAAGATACACTTATTTTTTTTTTTTTTTTTTTGCAGGATGAATCTAAGACATTCTTCATTCGTAAATTTGATGTAAAACGCTTTGCAGACCTTGTAGAAGCTAATAAGACATTAGATGTAAGTGTAGTTCAGTTTTCATTCAGTACAAACATTATTCGATAATATGCTTTGTTATTGGTATTTGTTTCAACAAATTACTAACAGATCACCACCATCCTGGAATGAAAAAAACAACCAAAATGTAAGATCATTTTTCTGATGAACACTATGGTACCTAAACTTTATGAATTTATGCACAGCACTAGACTGGCAGCAAGGTCTCATCATTATACAGCTGAAGCAGCGAGATGTAATTGTAAGCTCTATGCTAACAGTTCTTCTCTTGCATGTCTCACTTGTGGAACTCTCTTCTGGCTACTTGTTTTCCACTTTGATTACCTTGCTTGTTGTGAAATATTTAAAAAAAATTGCACTTCATATGATACAACACTTCTGGTCTTTTTAAAGAGAATAAATAAAAGCAAAGGATGATGGGTTATCAATAGAGCTGTTATAAAGATGGCAACCTGACTTTACTGCTAGAAAAATGGAGACATGAAGTCTATTTTGAATTCTTACATTTTCATGGAAATCTAATGAAACCTTGAAATATTTAATTTCTAAAAAAACTTATTTTTGGTAATGAAATTTCTTGACTTCAGACCTTTAGTGACACCAAGCCGTCGACCTGTGGTCAACTCCCAGTTGCAGCCTGGGTTTCTCAGTAAATTTCGATTCCCAACAAGAAATCTCTTTGTTGTCAGGCCAGGAAAATTAATTATTTCCCATTTTTGGAAAATTAACCACTTCCCATTTCAAAGGGGTCTCCGTCGTACGTGAGAGAAGGTCGGAGGAGAGCTATCCTCCTAGACTCTTTCTTTCTCACATTGATATCTCATACCAATCCCTTCGGTGGGAATTAACAATTTCTCCGCCTTTCTCATCCATTCACCTCTGCCTATCACCCATGCTACCACCCGACCAATAATCTCTCGACCATGCGGGTGTGGCTAAGCTGGCCTCCTTAAAATTATAATCCAGAATTTTTGTTTACAAAATTCTCCTTTCCCATCGGCCAAAATTTTTACGAATTCATATTGCGAATTAATTTTTTATCACATTTTTCTTTTGGGGCCACCCAAAATTCACTGAGCCAGCACTCTCTACCGACTCATCAATCACTGTCAGTTTGCCATCTGGTCCTTACATTAAGTCAGCTTTATAATAGAATCCTTCGCCTGTTAAGAAATTAAATCCTTTTATCCTGCCAAATCTCAATTCTCCACTCCATTTTCTGGGGATTGCCAAAAGTTTACACACACCATATCGCCATCCAACGTCTCAGTGTCTGAATCGACACGTTGATAAGGTAAACAATAACAAACCCCTCACCTATGTCAAGACAATGCCAAAATTTTACAACTGTCACATTGCCATTCAACGTCTTAGTGTCTGTTGGTCAAGTAAATGATAACAATCCTCTCACCTATATCAAGACAATGTCAAAATTTTACAATTGCCACATTGCTTCTCTTCGCCTGTATCCAAGAAAAAAAAAAAATAAACAATATCTTGAAAAGATAATTAACATTGATTCTCCCTGTCCTGTATCTCCGATCGTCTCAAGCTGAAATTTTTACGACCAGCACATGTTTTGGCCGATAATTTCATATTTGCCTTTCTTTCTATCTCCCTCAGCGAGACATAAATCAACAAGACCTGACACACGGCTGTTTCCACGAGTTTTTTTTTTGTAAATAAAATAAAATCTTTCTTTTAACGTCGATCAGTCTATCTTTCATGATAGCTCTTTTTTGGTTTAAGAATGCCTATTTTCTGTTTTAATTTCTATGGTTAATTAGTTAGCCAATTACCATAGCTAAATAGTGTCACACCTGTGTGCATACACACCCTCTACAAGCTGCATAGAAAACTGGCTCATCTGATATTAGTGGGAGAGAGGGATAGTTGAAAACCGGTCTTGATCTGTTCACCATAAAATTTTCACAAGTATCTGAAGACTTAGAGCCATATCGCATTGAAACACCAGTTCTTGTATGATCACCAAACTTAACCAATGCTGAACCTGGTCAATACTTAGATTGGTGACCACTTAGAAATACCAAGTATTGTAAGCTTGAACGTGTGAGTGGTGTAATTGATAACAGCTCAAAATTGGAAATCCGAGGTAAGTCCCAATTCCAATCAGGTTTGTTATATTCACTTCTGTGCAAATACCACTGGGAAAGATATGAATCCACCTCTTCTCTCCTCCCAGCTATGGGTTAATTAGTAGGATTTATCTCAGTAAATCATTATTATGCTCCCCAAATTCTTACAATCTAAAACTCTTCTGGTTTTAAATTACCTGCAAAAGGTTGATAAACCATAAAAAAACAAATTAATCCATCAGTCACAAGTATCTGAATCTTAATTTTCCCAACACACTCTCATGACAAACTATTCTTTGTGACCTATGTGCCTGCAGAAATATATTTGTTTAAATCTATCTTCTCCTTGTTTTTTAGCTTTTGCCCTAAACACTAGATCACATAACTGGAAACTTGTAATAATACATTACCCATTGTGTGGAAATAAAGCTATGTCAGTTTTGGAGTTGTAGTATATTAATGATTCCCAATGTGAGCAGTAGCACCCCTTTCAGGGTGGTATGAACTCTTAAGTGAGCAGAAAGTGTTCAGAGGTGTTAGGGGATGCTATAATTTTAACAGGGGAGTATAACAATTTGAACTTTTGAATGATGATTGGACAAAGTCATCACATTTATATCCATATTTGTTTATCATTTTGACTATATATTTACATTTTGGGGCTAAATTTTAAATATTTAGCTACAATTGCAATATGTAAAAATAAAAAAAAAACCTGCAAACTAAAGTGCAGCAGCTTTCTACAGCCTGACCTGGTGATGACCACTTCACTGGGATTCTATTGGGCAGGTTTGTTTGAAGACATGTAGCAGACTGGACCAATATAAAACCTGAGGAAGGCTGAAAAATATATCATCCAAAATGTTGTATTAAAAACAGCAATAATAAATGCTATTGTCTGAAATATATTGATGTTCAATTCACAAACGTGTTTGGTAATGACGTGACCTTTATATAGCAGTCACTGCACCATAAAACCACATTGGCATAATCAGAATTTCAGATATTAAAATATGTGTGTGTGTGTTTATATAATTTTTAGCAAACTTTAACCTTTGCGCTTGCAAAACAATGTGTCAAAAGGATTATTTTTCCCTTAACACTGTTATTGTAACTACCTTCACTCTTTGCAATGTTTGTTTTAAAAAGCAATGATTAGAATTTTAATAAAACCTAGATATATGAAAGAGAATTTATACATTTTCTTTGTTCTTGAGAAATGACATAAAAAATAAAGATTTTATTTATTAGATTGTTTAATTACAAGAATAATTCATTTATTATATTATTTATTGGAATGTTTAGCAAAACTTCAGCTAATTGCCAATCAATTCAAACTTTATAAAATGGTAAATAAGGACTTCCTTATAGTTGCTTCACATATTTGAATTATTTAGTAATTATTTAATAAATGTTTATAAATTTATAAATAAAAATTGGTAAATGATAAATATTGCATTGCATTAGTTTTATTACAATTGTATTAGTTTTTAGAATGTTGCAAATATAAAACTATTCTTGTAAATAGTGTTTAATATTTTTGTTGTACATTCTCAAAAGCAAAAAAAAAATGTTTAAATTCACTTTCATCATATGTTTAGGTATTATTGCAATTCTAATCATTGCTTTTTAAAACAATAAACATTGACAAGTAGTGAAGGTAGTTAAAATAATAAGTGTCAAGGGAAAAAGTCCTTTTGACACAGTTTTTTTTTTGCAGGCACAAAATCGAGGCATCAAAGAGGTAAGTTCGTCTGAACAATTACCATGAAAATATTTATAGAAAAGGCATACGGAAGCTACGTTAAGGACCAATAACACTGCAGATTCTTTGGATTTTATCAAGAAAAGTAATTGTGCAAACTGTTGTGTTTTAGTGTTCACTTGTTTACTTTGTTTGTTTTTTTTTCTAGGACCTTTTCCCTTTGCTCCCACATCAAAATGATATTGAAACAATATGGAAAAATCAGCAGCAAATACTCAAGAGAGATTTGGTCCGGCAGGAACTTGATCGAAGGAAAGGTAAATAAAGAGTTTAAGTTTCATTATTTCAAGATTACAAGTCAGTTGTATTATATTAACATTTTTCTGCAGTCTGGAAACATGAAATTGATTTCCCTCCACCCAACCACATTCTACTCACTACCCCAGAGTTTTTAAAAAAAAAAATTTAATCATATTAAATGCCCCCACCTCAGGAATTTATCTTAACACATTTATTATCAGTTCAAACTGAGCCTGTTAAGAAAATCTTGATATTTTTTCTATTCAGCATTAAAAATGACAAAGAACATTTACTATAAAGCATGATGCATTCATACATAAATAGACAGCTTTATTTGCTATATTCTAAACTAATGGATGACATAATATTTGACACTTTTTTTTTCAATTAGTGTAGTGACATGTTAATGACTACCTAATCAGTATAGCTATGGTATAGACTATATATATGCCCAAGCAATAAGGATAGATCAGCTCTTGATATGCAAGATGGACAAAAACCACAGGACTAATAAAATACAGAGAAAAGCACATTTCATAACAATTAGATTCATTATTGCACAATAAATGGAATGAATGAAATATTCAAATTTTACTCTTTTCAAACTTTACTACAAATTTTATTTTATCCTGATATTTCAATTATCTGCCACATGAAAAAGTTTTTTGTTTTTTCTAAAGGAGGAAATAAAACTTAAATGAAATATTTTATCTGAAGAAGTTTTCATAAAATTTTTTTTTTCTTTTCTTCTTACTTATAACCTTGGTATTTTTAGTTATAACTCACATTTCTGCTTTGTGCAGTAGTTAGTGATATAGACTCACCGACTAGACACAGTGAGTTCATTTGCTTCTGAAAGATTTATGAATGAGACTATCAAAATTGTCTCAGTTCAATAAAGCATTTAAGATTGGCATTGTTTGGCATAAGATTTTGAAATGAGTTTTTAATTTTGTTTTATTTGCACATTTTAGCCAGTCTGTTTTCAGGAGCTGAATTTTGTTAGTCTTCTGTTTTTATTTAGTCTGTAATGTTATTTTGATTCATTTACTTTAACTGTTCATCATGCTGTTGGAATAGAAAATGACCATCTATGTCATTCTTATTAAAATGACATAATGTTCATCCAGGTGCATAAAAACAATGCTATGGTCCTAATCAATAATAAACAAGTTATACCAACAAACTGGCAATTCTGGTAGCTAATACAGGGTTTAAAAAAATAATGAAAATGAAATTGTTCCCAGTTTTGATTAACATAAAAAAAAGAGTTACAATGTCTGGGAAAAGACAGTAACAAGGATAAAATTAAGAAAAAAACAATTTGTATAAACTTCTATAGCAGTTCATACATGCTCTTTTTCTTTAGATATTTTTTTTAAAAAAACAGTTGACCACCCCACCTCACTACTTATGATGCTTTTGTGAAATGTTGTGGGATGATACTCCAAACGTTTTTCTCACAAAATTTATTATTCACATCTTTATTAGTCTTTTCACTTTCTTAAATTTTTTACTTGCAGGAGAAATTTTTGTACCTCGACCACAGCTACTGCGAAAATACACAAATAACTCACTAGTAAAACTGTGGGAAGATCGCAAGAAAATACGGCAGAGCATAGAAGAGTTTATTGAGAAACAAATGGTTAAAAATAAGGATAAATCTCCCAGGAAAAGAAAAGGGGTAAAGAATTTGCTTATTAAGTTTTTTTTCTTGTCACAACTTTCTCTAGTGCAGTGATTTTTCAACTAGTGGACAGCAACATGATTACAGGTGGGCCGCAAAAATTCTTAAAAGTTATTAATAAATTCCTTTCCAAGTATATCCTTGTTATAATAAATAAACCTATACATAATATATAAAGTGTGTGGGGTGTCCATAGATAGCACATTTGACAAGGACTGGCTGATGAACACTGATATATGTCAAAATCATCCAGAGTAATGACAGGAATGAGTGATCCTTCATTGTGCACATATTTTTTATTATAATAAACAGAAAAATAAATATAATATTTACTCTTCACATATTCTTTTTCTTTACCATGCATTTTTGGGGAAATATAGTGGAATGATTTCTCTTTGTCTTACAGTTTTGAATTCAGAGTAGTTCTTCTCTTAGATTAGCTGCCAGCCAAAGCTAGAGAACCCAGTGGGGAGAAAGAGATGGATGTATGTCTTTCCCAAGGGCATTTGTGAAAAAGTGAATACAACAGACTACTGGGAAATGGGTGTTTTTATTGTGTTACCATCTTTAGACTGGTTGGGAACCAAGGATAGCAAAGCTAGTTTACTCTGCTATTTAACCCATAGATGGGAAGAGAAGAGTTTATTTGTGTGAAAGTGAACTTGGCATGAATTCAAACTTGGCTTGTTGATTTCTTTTTGCAAGCCACTAGCTTTTATACCTTCTGCACATCCAATAAAGACGTGTCTGCTTCTTCCACTGTATACTAATGTTAAGAAACTTATCATTTTTCTTTCAGTACACTATTATTTCTCCAAAACTGGATAACCTAAAACCTAACACAAGTGTGACTGAAATGTTAAAGATAGCCCGTTGTATTACTAATCAGCCTGTGCCAGAGAAAGTCTCAAACAAAAAACATCTTTGCTCTGATGTTGACAAAAGAATCAAGAACTTGTTATACCTTCATTGGCTCAAGGAAGACATGAAGGATCAACCAAAATTAACTAGCAGTAAGTTACTTGATTTATTATTGATTAATTTTTCACTGTGTTCTCTTGCTTTTATTATCTCAATGTATCTTGTATTTTTTCTTTCATAAACAATTAAATTTAAAAACATACACACACACATACATAAAACAATCAACAAACAACATTAAATTTTTATATTGGCTTTATGTACTACACTCTCTTGTAGGTTAACTTGTCATTTGTCAAACTTTACTGCAATTTACACACATATAGATCAAGATATAGGCAAAATAATATCAAATTAAGATAAATTATAATATCACCAAAATATTATGTAGGGTTCCATGCAAAGAAAGACTTAATATTCTGGAAGCCATTGTAATACAAGGGAAAACCTTATGTAAAAAATGATGTTGTTTATGAGTTCTCATATTCTTTGTTAGTATTAAAGATACAATCTCCCAATCAACAAACACTATTAAATTCTTATGTTGGCCAAACATGCACTACACCTTCTTGTATGTTAACTTGTCATTTGTCAAAATTTAATGCACTTTGCAAGCATATAGATCACAAATAACCAGTGTGTGTGTGTGTGTGTGTGTGTAGATAATAGTATCTGAAACAAAAGTGGAGCTGATGAGACAAAGTGAAAAAGCTATAAATGACACATTTCACTGAATGTCTGATGGTTTCAGCCTCTTCAAATCAGAATAAAAGACAAAACTGTTTCCAAGGAAAATGCATTAGCATTTTTGAGGATAAGAGAAGCCATAAATTAAATTGCCTTATGGCATTCATAAAAAAACAGTTGGATGTTTGAATTTTTTTTATTTTGTTGTCAATGTTTCATGCTGAATTCTCAATACAGCTGAAAAAATTGTTGTTACCCACTACTGAGAAACACTTGGATAATTTGAAAATTTTAAACAGTAAAATTTAAAAATCTCTCTATACAAATGAAAGATATTTGTACATTGGAAATATGTTAAAATAAATTTAAAATTTGGTGATTTGATAATTTCTGTCTACATTTCTGGAATAAGGAATTACCATTATTTACACTATTTACATGCAGACTATTGTCCTCATCGTTGTGATATCAACAAAAAAGATGAGGATAATAGTCTGAGCATAAATAATGGTGATTTGATAAAGGAAATTAAAATGAAAGAACTTTGAGAAAAATAAAGAACCAAAATCTAAAGAAAATAGTGAGTATTTATAATTAATTCATGATGATATTATTTAGGTATTAAGGAAATTATAGATATGATTTTTTTAAAAATTTACTCTGTTTCACCAATATAAATTTTGATCACATTTACTACATGCAATTACATATATACCAGCATTTGAATTATATATTTATTAACTACAGTGTTTCTAAATAGCAAAGTTGCTATGGCAACAATTTTTTCAGTTACTTTATGAATTTTAGTACAGAGTAAAACATTGACAACAAAATTAAAAAACTGATTTTCACAAATTCCATCTTAAATATTTACATGCTTTATTTTGATATTTCATATCAATCATTTTATTACACATGCACACACACACACATATACATAATGCATAAGGTATTTGCAGACACATTGAAGACCTTAGAACAACCACATCTTACAAACACTAAATTTATTGATACAAAGCTTTGTACACAAATGCAGTAATGGTTGGATTACATGTTTTCAATGAAACCACCTTCAGCTGCAATGATGGCTTCAATGCAGAACCGGAATCACTGACATGCATGTATCACATGGTCTGTATTGATATTGTACATCACTCAGGTAATGGCAGCTCTCAGGGAATCCATCATTTTGTGAGAACATTTTTAGTCTCCTGTTCAACAATGCTCCACAAGTCAAGATAATTTAGGTTTGGCAAGTTAGGTGGCCAATATGCTTGGTGTGATATGGTCATACAGATTGGCCACCATTCACAGCTTTGGGAGACGGTCCAAAGTTCTGCTGAAACATATACAGCCTTTCATTGCATACAAGGTCTATCCATGACTTCACAACTGTTTCCAGCACCTGAGTGTAGCCAGCAGCATTCAACTGAAGACTCTTGAAAGAAGTGGTGAAGCATGACATGTCATTCAATACTCACCAACTCTAAAACCATCACAGAAACAGGAAACTTGGTGTGCATAACATGAGGGTCATCAGTAGGATCCCCCACATAACCACCTCTCATTTCTGTTTCACTTTTTGATACTGGTTAAAATTTTTTTCATCTGTTTGCCAAATGTTTCAACTTGTTCAGTAATCTTTTTGCTCAGAGCAACTGTTGTTCTTGTGTGTGTGTGTGTGTGTGCGCACCAACATGAACTACCCTTTACTCATCACATATGACTTGTACTGAATATCCTCATGCAAAGATTGGACCTTTGGACATCTGGTGATCTCTGGCAATGGCCCTCATGGACACTTTGGGGCACATCCCCACTAGAGGCTTCCAACTCCTTCCAAACTTTGTGCACAAACGACCTGGCAACTTCTCAAGATCTTGCAATCTTAACATCACTATGTTTTGCATGTATCGCAACAATTACAGCATATCATTTCATCTAGTGTGCTAACTGATATTTTGCCATTGAAGCCTTGAAATTGATTATCGCATAACTGCAGATGCACAATCGCTTGTCCTCAAATACATTACACACCCTGTAAAATTAATGCATAATTTAATGCTATTACAACCCCAAATTGCATATACATTTATATCATAATATAATACCATGTCTATTCACTGCTGCTCTGTTTTTTTCAGTAATTATAAGCTGCAAGTACAACATTTGTAAAGGTAGCTAATTTTAGCAACACTTACAACAACTGCACCTATGGATCATTGCTACTGAGATGATGAAAGTTGACTTTAATTACCATTTTTTATACTATTGTTCACACAATAAAATGCCTAAGAGCCACTCAAAGCAGAAGGTCACTTAATGAGTTTGTTGTAAGGATGCAAAGGAAAGTGGAAGGGGTGCACATTATGAGAATATATAGGATAGATATCAGTTGACCCTATACTTTGAAGAGGTTAATATTGTAGTGATTAGGGAGTTTGTTCCTCAAAGTGAAAGTTCTGAGGAAGAAGCAAAGTGGAACTGCCTCCTTACCAAAGGAATATAAAGGGAATCAGGGTGAGTTAACATACATGCATCCTCTCAATCATTTCCCTCTACCTCTCACTTTCGCTTAGAAAGGATGCTACAACTACTGTTCCTCAAAAAATAAAGAAAGATAAAAAAAAAAAATTTCTGTCATTGAGATTGATGGAGCATTGTGGTTTGAAGTGATGATTGGAGTGATCAGAGAAGTGTCCTCTTGGAAGTCTGTTCCACAAAGTGACAGTTCTGAGGAACAAGTTGGGCAGAACTTTTTCCTTACTAAAGGAATATGAAGGAAATGAGGATGAGTTGACGCTTTGTACATGGCATGGCAGGTCCTAGCTGTGAAGGTCTGAACTGGTAGAACTATGGAATATGATTTATTTAATTCTCATTACTTGAATCCTGCATATTATTATGATACAAACTGTGATTAACACATCCTTTTATTACAAAACATTTAAGAGTTAAGGCTTATAATTTTGGTGTTAAGTTGAGGGAGGTTATTACACAGCAAAATCCAATATATCTTTTTGTGATTTTTATTTCTTTTCTAGATAAATCAAAAGCAAATTGTGAAGAAGAAAAATATCTGGACAAACTGGAAGGCATGACACTGATAATGACTGTAAGTTTTTTCTTCTTTCATCTATATTCTAAGATTTGTTACAGAATGTGTAAGCTGATCCAGAATGGTAAAGTATTGGTCAGAACTCTGATGACATTGAGTGTAAGTGGTTTGAATATTAATGGATTGCCTATAAGTTTTGATATAAGATCAAAAATAAGTGGAAATATTCCATTATTAAAATAAGTAGATCACGTGATCATAAAGTAAACATATAAACAGAAATTATCTGTCTATATTTCTGAAATCAGTTATTAATTACCCTATTTACATTGTAAAAGAGGAGGACAACAACACTCAAAAAACAGTCTGCAATCCATATAACATCAGGACAACCTTCAAAAGCTGGACAACACTTTGCAGATACCTCTCCCAAGTAAGATAAAGGGAGGAGAAGATGATGAAAGACTGTGTGTACGCCATCCCGTGCAGGTACGGAAAGAAATATAAAGGGGAAACAGGCCGCCCCCTTAAGGTAAGGCTTCAAGAAAACCAAAAAGCTGTAACACAAGGGGAAGTGAAAAAATCAGGCGTGGCTGACTACATATGGAGAGAAAAGGAAAATCACTGCCCTATGTGGGATCAGGTTGAAATTATAGACAAAGAACATCATTGGAAAATTCATAAACTTAAGGAATCAGCACATATGCTAGGCCACAATATGGGTACCAGTAATAAGGAGTGCCAGAGAAAAGCAATAACTACAAAAATTGCAATATGAGTTCTGGTAAAATAATGTAATGATAACAGCAAAAATTGCAATATGAGCACTGGTAAAAAAAATGATTGCTGAAGACATTAGGTTTATAATACCCAGAAATTCATACACAGATGTCCTCAAGGACACATGGCACAGTGGATAAAGGCGTTAGTTAGATCCAGTGACAGGACCCAAAGAGTGTGAGTTCAATAATCAGGTGGTGGAGAACTTGGAGAGGGGAATTAACAGGAGATAACTGATAACTGACATCCATTAGACATGCAGAACTAGAACAATCTACCCCAGCAAATGAAAGGGTTCAGTTTGACATTCCAACCACCTAAAGAAGGCCAGAGCATACAATGGCTGAAACGTTATAATAAATATCATGAGGATAGTCCAAACAATGTAAATGGGAATTAGTGTAACGTCTAAGTGATCACTATTCTCTATACTATCTACTATACTATTTCTCTATACTAATCATTATACAAATTACTATCTGGTGATTACTACATGAACAGGTATTATTTGGAGGTATTACTTTTTTTAAAGTCATTGCAAAAATATTCTTTTCATATTTATTCCCCCCCACCAACTAATTTTATAAAAACTCTAGAAATTCAACACTTCAGTTTAGTTATATTAGTTAAAAGCACAAGGCTTTGAGGAAAGCAAATCATGTATTTTGTTTGTTTTTTTTTTTGTTTTTTTTTATCATTATTATTATTATTATTATCCCACACACACACACACGCCTGAAAATCAGTTCTGAATTGTAACATACAAAACACAATAAAACAAAGATATTATTTAATTTCAAATGCTTTTAGTTGTTTTTATGAATATGGATAATATTGTCTGAAAAGAAAAACTTTTTAGATAAAAAATGAATTTTTAAAACAATTATTTGTTATTTCTTAAATTATTTTATTTTTTCATTAAAGTTGTTAAATATTCTAAAATTAGTGAAAACAGCATTCAGTTTAGTCAATAGTGTTATTAAATAGAGCTATCTTTTAGCATTATAAGTTGTATAAGTTATAACAATCAGAGCTGAATGGAATAAAAATACTAATTTCAGATGGCTTTCGTGTCCATAAAATTGCTGTAATTCAAATATATGGAAGACCAGCAAGAATACAATAAAAAGTCATGTAAAGCATTGTTCTCTGTTGTTAGGGCCTTTATTTTTGTGAAACACATGTGGAGAAGTTAATTTGATTTTTCAATTTCAACTGAGAAGGGTACCTACAAGTACTAGTATCATCTTATGAAATTTATATGATCTTATTTTTATATTATCTCAGTTGTAGCATTTTTCCATAAATGAAATATCAAAATTAATAATAAAATGAACGGAAATACAAATAACACATTAAAATGTAATAAATGTACTTAAAATTATAGTATTTTATGTACAATTCTGATAAAATTTCATAAGAAAGGTATTTAAATTAATTAGATACCTTCCTTATAAAATCTAATCTCACTCTCAACAATCTTATTTTAATTTTTTCATAATATAGTTTCCATAAAGCATCATAAATGTAAAGGTGAAAGCTAAGTACAAAAAAAATTAGAATGCTGAAAGTTTTCCTTAAAAATAATGAGGTAAATAAGTTGGTTCACTTAAATGTAAATAATTATGTCACTTCTGTCCGTATGATAACTTTTCCTCACGTAAACTCTCAATATGTGTGATGAAATCACTGTAAAGTGACACCAAATGTTATGACCTGCTTTGTCTTATTTTTAAACTACACCTTTTTGGCACAGAAACTAAGTAATACTTGTTTCAAAATATTTTAAATAAACATTATTTCTAATTTTCTTAAAATAAGTTTTGAAAAAAATTATAATTGGTTTTTAAAGGAATTTGAAACTGATTTTTCATTTTTTTTTTTTTTATAACATGGAAAAAAATGGTTTACATGATTGATTATCTGTCAATTTTGCTGACTCAAAAAAAAACATGATTTTTAACAAAAATTTTGGACGTGTTAGGAACGATTAAAAAATGTAAAAAAAAAAAAAAATACCCCCAAAATACTTTGATCTTTCCTCTTAATAATAACATAAACATTTAGATGATAAAATTTTGTTTGCGTCAAGTTTGGCATCTTTCTCATCATGTTATGCTCTTTTTTCTTTTTTTTTTTAGTGATCTCATGGCAGTACCTATGCTTAACAGTGAAAGTTTACTGACTTAATGTTTCTGCTTAGTGAAGGAATTAAGTACACTATTTTTAATCCATGGCATATCTTAACCCTTCAATGCACCATATATACTCTGCCATAATATATAATGACATCATTGCCAATAACACAGGAAGTCACATAAACAGTGAGACTTTAAGAGCTGATATTTACGGGGCAGGTTTGCACATGTTGAATGCTAAAGAGTTAGTCTGTAGATCCTCATGTCTCCCTGACTTATATATGGCCATGTGATTCTCACTGTTGTGGCCCAATATCTGATTTGGGGAGTCAAAAGAAAAAAAAAATCAAAGAAAAAAAAACTCTTAGTGGTCAATTGGTCATGCACACATTTATTATACTCAATCAGATAAAGTTGTTTGTACTAAATAAGAAAGGAAGTCACTTTGCACTGTACTTATTACTCTTGTCATAATGGGGGAGGGTACCAAAATCCAAAACGTCAGAAATACTATGGCAATTTCAAAGAAATTTCATAATATTACAAAAGTCTGAAAATTTAAAATTTTTGTACATGTGTACTAAAATAATTTGGGACTATTTTAGTGAAATACCTTTTGTATTTTTAATTGTTTGTATTCTCATATCCAATTTTATGTATAGTGGACTCTCCTGTCTAACTATAATTTTTACAAGATTGAAGAGTCCATCATACATAAAATAGGGAGTTACTTTTCAATCACCCTGTATATAGAAACAAATTGCACCCATGTTGGTTAGAAGTGGTTCAATCCTAGAGATGTATTTCAACTGCCAATTTCTCCTTTGTCAGCTTTGTCAGGTGCCTAGCAAAGCCATATCACTTTGAGCAAGAAATTGCTGTTTCTATTCCATTCTTTTGGATTTCATATCTGTCCTTATAATTCAAAAACACTTGGAATTATACCATGTACTTAAAAAATGAAAATAAAGTTCTTAAACGTTGTTTTTGTTTTTTGTTTTTGTTTTTTTTTGACAAACAACAAAAATAAAAAATAAAAAAATGTACCACCATAGTACTAAACCCCACAATCTCTTGTTTTTTGATACCAACCCCCTAATCCTTGGTCATAATAGAAACCACTGATTAGACTTGTGCAATTTGTAACTATGTTTTTACTTTATATTGAGCAAGACCATAAAATATGTATAATTTTGTAAAACACTCCAACATATTCTTTGACTTTATTTAACAATACATTATTTATATGCAGACTATTGTCATTATCTTTCTTGTTGTTATCACAACATTTCAGCCATTGTGCTCTCTGGATTTATCAAGTGTATTTCAATCTGAACCTTTTATTTAATTTACAGGTGTATATGTTCTCGTTCAACTGTGCATCTAGGGCTATCTCATCTAAATTCTTGATGGTTCCTATGTTAATTTTCTTTACTGACCTCTGATCCCCATGTTATGTTAAAATCTCTTTTGGATTGATTTTATGCAGCCTTTTGTCAAAGCAGTTTTCTTCACCCAGAACACTCCCTAATAAGCTTCTCTATTTGACAAAATTTAATTTCCAAACTTATTTCACAATTCACATGAAAATTTTTTGATGAAATCAGTGATAATTTTGTTATAAAGAACTAAAGTGATAAATTTAAAACTTAGTGCTTTCCTTTCTTTTCTATAAATTTATTTGAGCAATGCATTAGTCAGAGCTACAAGCATTTCCATACACACACAGCTTGACATTTTTGTATTTATAATTTACTTGTATATTATTGCAAACTATCTGCCTGGAATAGATTTTCCACAAAAAAAAGCATCAGTCAGAATTGAGAAAAGTTTTAAAAAAAAAAAAAATTGACATTCATTTTTTATGTGTATTTTTAAGAAAAAAATATTGACAGTTATTGTTGTTTTATATTTGTGTGATTGTAGCCAGATTGAATTTCTCACAATATCTGTTAGTTTGGCCTGCATACAAAATCTGCGTTCACCTTTAGTTGTTATTAATGATTGATGAATTCATTTTTTTACAGCTTATTAACCCTTGCAGGTTAATTAGAAAACATTTTTAGAATGTGAGTTTTTTTTTTTCTTTTTTTTTTTTTTTGAGATAATAATGGTTATACAAGTTTTACTAATTAATATATAGCTGGAGGCAAAAGTATGACACTGTAAGAATGCTAATAATTTGAAAAGAGAAAAGTAAACACAAAAGTGAAGAAGGGAGTAGACAGATTGAAGAACATACTGAAGCCAAGAGAAAAATATACTTTTATTTATTTTTTTTATTTTTTTTTTTTTTTTCATTTTGTGAGTAAAGGACCTCACTAGACAATAATGCTGAATTCTGTTTGAACTTCTAGTTAAAGTGACACTCAAAGGGCAATATAGGAGTGGGGTGCAGTGACAACTGCGAATTGACCAAGACTGGCATTTTTGGATAGAGGCCACCAAGCTAGTTGCAGATAATAATTTTATGGCTACTAGTAGAAGAGAGTAAGGGAATGATTCTATATCACTTGTTGATAGGGGTGGAGGGTGTGCGTATCGCTAAAGAAATAATATCTCTTGGATACAATGCAGAATCCAAATGACAAAGAATTTGGTCAATTGGTTTGGTCAAGTCTTCCCCGAAGACAAGGAAAGAACTATAATTATCCAAGATGATAAATCTGGAAAATATCAAATAAACTTTTTATGACAAAGGACATTTCTGATGATGTGAGGTTGAGACAGAGAATTTTAATTAACAAACACATGCTAGTCATGCCACCCAGTCAAAGAACCCCGAAGATTGGATATTTGGAAAATCCTGGAACACCAGATTGCATTGGACACCACACCGATGTTGGGCAAGGGTCCATAAATGCGTTAGATTGAAGGGGATTGAGAGATCAAAGGGGGATTGAGACTAGCAGCTGAGGCAAAGATACACATCCATTACACCAAGAGAAGACGATCACTTCACCAATCCTCATGTGACTTGCTGCCACAAGAACTCCCAACTCATGCCTTGTTCCAGACTATTAGATAAATTGAGCAGAGTGTCCTGATGAAATTGCAAAGTGGAAGAATTGAAAGTCTCTATATAACAGGGAGGGAAACAAGTGCTTCATCTGCATTTAATAATTTGCTGCTTGAATGCCTGAAGAAGTCTCCAAATTAAAGTTTGAAACCTCAACTCCATCTTGGAAATGAAGAACAAAGTGTCACAAAATTAGACTACGAGGGAATGGTCGTTAGCCTGCATGCTTGTAGATTCTTATACGAAAAATGTTCCTGTATAAACCTCAGTTATATAAACCTTGTTGATTTAGACACCTTTCTTTTTTTTTTGTCTTATAACATCATCCCACTTGAATGACAGCAATTCAGTGATATCTGGTGACGATTCGATTCTTGTCTGCCTTGTGATCAAAACAAACACATGGAACAAGGAGAGGCCTGGATAGAAGCAACCAACTCCACAGTTAGCCACAGGATTCAATCACGGACACACCAGTGAGTGAGGATAGGACAACGTTGTCATGTAGTGCAGGGACCAGGATGTCCCACAACGTTATAGAAGAAGTGGATTCATACCTTTCCAAAGGGTATTTGTGCATAAGTGAATATAACAAACACAACGGGAATTTGAATTTGGCTCTCCAATTAACAATTCTGAGCCATTATCCATTACACCACTTTCACATCCAAGCTTACAACACCTAGTATTCCCAATTGGTGATCCATCTAGATACTGACCAGGCTCGATATTGCTTAAGTGATTGTATAGGAACCAATGTTTCAACATGATATGGCTGTAAGCCTTAGTTGTTATAAGAAAAGTGTTGTCGTAGCAAAGTCCTGTAAACTTCTGTGGAGTATTGGGCCATAGCCTCATCATATTAGCTGTTTTAGTTGTGGTTTCTGTAACTGGTAGGTTTTTATCGGGTGGAGACAAGTGTATCTGTAACAAAGATGGATTGAATATTTGAATGACTGAACTATTTCCAACTGAGATAAAATAAAATTGGTATCCTTTTGACACCAACTTTATGTAAAACAAAAAAAAATCATCATCTTCCTTTCCATTTTCATTTTGTCAAGCAATTTTCACACAAAAGAAATCTTCTGCTTGCTGAAACCAATTTTCAAACTTAAATTTTATCCTTTTGTAATACTTGACAGTTTGTTGAGCGAGGATCTTTCAGCAACAGAAAAACTTTTCACAATCTGTAGCATTGAGGCTGTCAATAGTCAAGGATTAAATTAGTAGTCATTGTTGTTCCAGCATTTGTTCAAATGGAACAGAACTGGTGACATGAAATGTTTTGTTCTTCTGTCAGTATAACTGAAAAAAGTAAACAAACATTTTTCTTTACGACTTCATCTACGTTTCCACTTGATAAAATTGTGTGTGTGAATGAGAGAGAAAGACAGAGAGAGAAACACCATTTTTACATCACCAAAAGAGTCTACTACATAGATAGGAACAACTCTGGACTTTTCTGATGACATAATGGAAATAGAACTTGAAATTTGACAAATAAAAGTAACTTTCTACCTTAAATTATTTTAGTTCACAGATATATATGCTAACTTTGTAATTGTATTTATAGCAAAAAATTTTAATATTTTTTGATTGTACAAGTAAACTAACTAATTATGTAATACATATAATTAATATAGCATTTATATTTTACATGAATTATATATATTGGATATCTTTTCTTAGGCACTTGGTATGGATCACAAGAACGTTACAAACAAAGTATTGTATGGCCCAAGCAGTGGGGCATTTCAATCCGCAAGTTACTTGACTGCAGAAGAGCTACAGAACTTTAAAGAGGAGTTCCTGCTTATTTCCCAGGATCCACTGTGCAGTGGGAACTTTTCAGGAGAGAAAACCCCAAAGGTTGAATATACTGACAATGTCCCTCCAAATATTCATACACTGACTGCTTTCCGATTATTAATTCTCGAAAGGCAAAATCTACAGAAATCAGCTGATTGTTTTCCAAACTTTCAGAAGAAAGCCAACACATATCCAGGTAAGTAATGCAACTTAGATTATATTTAAAATGTAGGTATTCTCATAGACTTTTACAAGATTGTCTTATAAACATCTCTTTTAAACATGGAGTGAAATTCAATTGATTAATGGAATTTTACAAATTTATTGCACAAAAAATTGTGTAAATGTAACGTCATTTTTTTTTTTTTTTTATTAAATCATTTCACCGCCAAGTAAGACAATATAGCCACTAAGACGCAAGGGGTTACTGAGTGTGAGAAAACATGAGAAAGTAAAACACTATTAAGGAAAGAACTATAAAAGAACAGGAATTAAGTAAACAGAAGATATTGCATTTAAATCTTTGAAGATCAAAGTTGACTGGAAAGCAAGAAGCCAGAAGTGAATTCCACAAGCAAGAAGTGTGAAAGAAGAAACTGTTAGCATAGAACTTATGGTTACATCTAACCATTTCAAATGTAAAATGATGAGACCTTTCTGCCAATCTAGTAGTATGCTTAAATTCATGAAGTCTAAGTATCAAAGAGGAAAGCTTATCAGAACAATTTCTATGGAAAAGGTATAGGAAAGCTATTTTTAAATGACTGAAACTGAGATGCCAAGGCAGGACTAATAGCATTGCAGATTCTTCTTTAGATTTTATCAAGAATCTATAAATACAAGCACCAGACCATATATGGTAGCAATATTCAAAGCATGGACAAATAGTAGACTTATAAATAAGATAGATTCTAGGGAAAAAATTGTCTATTATAACACAGTGAGCTAAATTTCCTACCAGCAAACCTAGCAATTGATTCAATATAATATTTCCACTTCATGTAGTGGAAAATATCCCAAGAAGGCATGATGAGTCATTCTCCTGGAGGTTACCAAAATGGGTCCTCTCAGATAATTAAAAGAGAGCCGTTTCATTTTGGAGGAGTTAAAATTAATTAGCCATTTCTTGACCCAGTTAACAGATTGTAGATCATTTTTTAAATCAGCTGCTAATTTGATCTTATCAAACTGATCAGATTTACTATCATGACAAGAGTAAATGGTTGTGTCATCGGTATAGATACTAAGTTGAGAACTGATGACATCAGGAAGATCATTGATGAAAATTCAGAACAACATAGATCCAAGGATAGTGCCCTGGTGGCCACCTGCATTAATACAAAAAGATCCTAGAAGAGTCACTGTCCAAGACAACTTTCATTTCATAATTTGGTAAGAAAGACTGACTCAGTTTAAAAATTCCTCCAAAAATACCATAACCTTTCAACTTGTGAAGAAAACTAGCATGCCAAACCTTATTAAATGCATCCGAGATATCCAAAACAGCAGTCTGAGCTTCACCATTCTTATCTAAAGGCCGTTTCAGCAATAATTGTTAATACATCAACAACTGACCTAGAGAAGCAAAAGTCATATTACTTATCTGAAAGAAGACATTGTGAGATGAGATGCTTAACCAATTCAGAGTTAATTAGAACCTCTAGTACTTTACCAAAAATTAGTAGAAGCTAATAGGCCAATAGAAAGATCAGATGCTTCACTTGAGTTCTTAAAGACTGGAACGATAGAAGAGGATTTTCAACAAGCAGGAAAGCAGTGAGGAATTTATTCTAGAGTTTAGATAGATCAGAAGCCAGCTCAGGAGTACATTTCTTAAGAACTATGCAGGGATACCATCAGGTTCACATACTTTGTCAGGATCCAGTTTAAAGATGATAACAGAAACCATGGACAGTTATATACATATCACTCAATCGAGATTCAGTTCTAAATGCAAAGCCAGGCAGCTCTTCCAGATGACTCAAGGGTAGAATTTGAAGAGAACTTACAAGCAAAACATTCTGCTTTATCAGCAGATGTTAACACCTCAAATTGAGGGAAGAGAGAAGGCACAGAAGACTTACTCTTATTTAATGCAAGAGCCTCAAATAAGAGAGCCTCAAATAGTCACAAGAAGCAAACTTGTTAGATGCTACATGGTACCTCATTCTATCAGCAAACAAAGACTTGTCCTCCTTGAAAACATGTTTACAATTGTTCTGAGCAGACACAAAGTGGCATCTCTTGTGTTCAGAACTATCACATTGGTACAGCTGCAAAAAGTATTTCCTCTGATCTATAGTGGCTGAACAGGCTGGTGTGAACCAAAGAGAAGATTATGATTTGACCTGGTATTTCTGAAAAGGCACAAAAGCATTGATACCAGCTTTAATTAAAGAAGAAACCTCTTAATCCCAGACACACTCACATGTTATGAATTCTTGTTAAAATACCATTTGATCATTATGTTCCATAAGTTAAGAGATTTATCTAGAAAATTACAATTACTTCGAATTGTTTTGTGTTAAAGAAAATCTGAAAGCATCAAAATTATGTCCTAAATTTGAATAATATTAAATTGCAAAATAAATTAAAATATTAATTTGTTTAGCAACATTTTAGTTTTATTTGTTAAATTATATTGTAAATTTAAGATATGTCAAAAGAAAAAAATATTTATACCAATCAATTTCAGAGATTTTTTATAATTTAATCAAACTTTGTTTTTCATTTTTTTTATTTTTATTTTTTTATAATTTTCAAAATAATTGTTTTAGTTGTCAAATTATATTGTGGACCTATGGCTTGTAAAAAGAAAATATTCATAGGAATTTTTTTTTTTTTTATTTGAAATATGTTAAAATACTCATTTTATTCTTTCTGTCTTTCATTATACCTAAAGTGTATTTAATAAAATAATAATTTACTTTAATAAATTTTAATAAATTACCAAGGAATTCTTCAAGTCATTATACACTTTAATTTTCTTTATTTACTTACTTTTTCTTTATATGTTTTGTTTTGTGGGGTCAGGTTTTTTGGTTTTAGTGGGTGTTAACAATAAAGTACAAATTTAAAATTTAATGGAGGCAACATTACACAATAATTGGATCATTTCCTTTTGAACATAACACAGATTAGGTTAAAGTTATTTTGAATATTTATCTTATGAATTATTTTATATCCATTTAGACAGCCATACTATGTAACAAGGAAGTATTATCTTCAGCTGTTATCACCTATCACCTATAAAATGTTCATACGAATGCCTAAATTTTACCTTGCTCATCGTTCTTGACCAAGATTGATCAGGCACATTTGTCATATTTCTTTAATTCCCTAACTTTATCCCTGTGGATTACAGTCACATCACATTGCAACACTGGTTTCCATATGCTCACCAAATTTAAGCAACGTTGTGTCTGGTCAATAACTTCATTGATGACCAGTTGGAAATACCAGGTGCTGTAAGCTTGGATGTGCAGGTACTGTAATGGATTAACTGAATTGTTAATCAGAGAGCAAAGTTCCAATTCAAGTTGGCTTTATATTCACTTACATGTAAATATCTTTGGGAAAGGTATGAATCCACATTTTTCTTCCCCCCTAGCTATGGGTTAATTAATAAGACATTATTATCTCAAAAAAATTAAATTTTTACAATCTAAAAATATTTTCTGGCTTTAAATAACCTGTAAAGGGTTTATAAGCTGCAGAACACCAATCAATCAATCGATCATTTATTCCCATGTTATACCTAGCTAGGAATGTACGCATCAAAATGCTTGTACTCAAGTTCATAAATTTGTGTCCTTAAATCTCCCCCAAAATCTGAACATCCCTGTTTCTCACATTTCTGGATCAGTTGAAATACTTCTCCCTGCCATGCTAGAAGAATTGAATAATATTTTTATTATCTGGTTTGATATTTATTCACATCTTTTAAAAAAATATTTAATTAAAAACTTTAGTTTTTAAGATAATCATATGAGAATTAGATGATCATTTTTGGGAATGAGCAGCCCAATTCCTAGCAGATTGAATTGTCATCAGGTGTATCTGTGGTTGGACCAATGTCAAAATCATGTTAGTCACACTTGAAAATAAATGACCTGGGCTCAAATGCTGAGAAACTTGTAGCACAATACAGATCTGTCTATATTTCTGAGATGAGGTATTATGTACATTATTTACATTATTCGGACTATTGTCCTCATCTTTGTCACCATATTTATCACAACGTTTCGGCTATTCTACGCTCCGGCCTTCTTCAGGTGATTGGAATGTCAAACCAAACCCTTTATTTCGCTCACTGGGGTAGACTCTTCTAGTTCCACGTGCCATGTTTAATGGACGTCAGTTATCAGTTATCTCCTGTTAATTTTCCTTCTGAAAGTTCTCCACTGCCTTAGCCGGGTATTGAACTCGCAATCTTTGGGTTATGTCACTGGATCTAACCAACGCCTTTATCCACTGTGCCATGTGTACTCAAGGCCTTAGCCGGGTATTGAACTCACACTCTTTGGGTTATGTCACCGGATCTACCCAACGTCTCTATCCACTGTGCCATGTGTCCTTGAGGACACATGGCACAGTGGATAAAGGCAGTAGAGAACTTTCAGAGGGAAAATTAACAGGAGATAACTGACATCCATTAAACATGGCACGTGGAACTAGAACAGTCTACCCCAGTGAGCGAAATAAAGGGTTCAGTTCGACATTCCAACCACCTGAAGAAGGCCGGAGCGTACAACGGCGCAAACGTTGTGATAAATATGGCGACAAAGATGAGGACAATAGTCCGAATAATGTAAATAATGTACACAATACAGATATTCACCTTTATTTTCCATACAATTGAATTTGTCACTTTGCATAGAGATACTGGACATATAGTTTTGAAAAAGTTTTCAAACACCACCAAATGAATCTTTCATTTCAATGTAATTTAAGAGATTAATTTCACTTAAAAACATACATGATTTGATAATCTTTTCAGATGTCAATTTTCATGCTTTAATAATAGCCAGCATGTTCTGCAAAATGCTTTCTTTAGTTAATTAATTTGCATCAGTGAAACAGAATGGGGAAGAACCGATTTTTTTTTTTTTTTTCCCCACCTAACATATCCAGCTTTGCTTCTCTTTGTATTCAGTTTTTTTTTTTTCTTTGAAATTCAGATGAGTTATGCAATAACCTGAACCCTCTAGCTGAGAAGATGGAAAGGGTAAAGCAGTCTTATTGGTACAAAACGCTCCAAGTTCATTTTCGTTCATTATTCATGTGGCCTGCCTTGCTGTCCACTTTGAGTGGAGTACAACAAAAATTGGTAACTTCAAAGCCTTGCTCCAATGCGAAACGTAAAAAAAACAAGTAAGTAACAATACTAAGTTTTCTGTACATTTTTTTAAACAGAGGAGGAGGTACACAATATTCCTTTTGCATAATAAAGTAATAATCAGTCAAGAAAAATAATTTTAGAAAGAAAACCTTAAGTAAGAATGAGAATAGATTTGCATGTTTTAAATTTATTGTTGCATTTGTCTAAACAGGAATGATTAGTATGATAGTAAATAGGAATTCTGGTTGCTTGCAGTCTGCTAATAATGGGTAGGTGGGGGGACACAAATTCAGTTAAAGAAGGATGTTTGATTTACTGAGAGAAAAGAAGAGATAGTGTTTACATGCATATGCACACATGCACAGCAGGATATTGAAAAGTTCTCAGCTGGGAAAGAAGCCTTTTCAAAAAAAAGTTCAGATGGTTGATGCTGGAAACACTGGTTGTCATTGAATCACAAGAGTTAATCACTGTCAATGCTTAGATGGGAGACTGCTTTGGAATGCTGGGTACTGTAAGCAATCTCCAACAATCAAAAAAATATTTTAGCTTTTAAATTACCCACAAAAGTTTAAGCTGTAAAAAAAAAAAACTAAATCAATTAATCTGATGTTTGGAGATTTTAGGTAGTGGATCAGAACAAGAACTTTTCAGCACCCCACTGTGTATACACATAAGGAGGTGTAGAAAATTTCTCAGCTTAATCCACTTACTAAAATATGACTAAAAATCACAATTATTTTTTATGTTTTTTAATTTTGTAAGAGCTTGTTAGAATAAACTAAAATTAAGATACTGATGTCCATACCATTCCTCTCTAATACTGTATGAAATGTGGTCAATGTTCTTCTCCAGGAAGACAACCAACTCATTTTACTTTGACCTTTTCCCTGGCACCTGATTTTCTGTATCTTTATTTTTTTCATTCAGTTCCAGAGAATAAACATGTGTATGTGTTATCCTCTGTCTGAGTTATTTCTTGTTTTATTTCAGTAAATATGAGTCAGCCACTATCATTTAACCATTAGAGCTCTGCATTATTGATATTGCTTCCCACTGCATTCTTTTTCAAGGACTCCCAATTGTAGTATCCTTATTGTTAATTTCACTCAAAGTTGTTTTCTGTTGCCAGGTTATGACAATATAACTATGAAATTCAGACACACTATTTTTCAGGGATAAGTTTCCTTCCTTCAGTGGTAGGGTAAACTTTTTGTACAGCAAATGAAGTCACAGAGTGATAAATGTTAATGTAAGAGAGCTTCTTAATTGGACCAAGAAGTTTTCAGCATCTCCTTGTGTATGTGTGTGTGTGTGTATATATATATATATATATATATATATATATATATATATATATATATATAATTATTTAAAAATATGATTCAACTCACGACATAAGAGGTCTCATGTTTTCAAAACAAGGCCAAAACTTCAATATAATTATTTGAATTAAATTGAGTTAAAGTAAGCTCTGTTCCATCTTCAAGCGAAATATTTTTTTTTTATTTTTTTTTTTGCTTGAAGATAGAACAGAGCTTACTTTAACTCAATTTAATTCAAATAATTATATTGAAGTTTTCAGTTCTTGTTTTGAAACATGAGACCTCTTATGTCGTGAGTTGGAATCATATTTTTAAATAAATATATTTATGGACTACTTTTGTATCGAGCACTATTTTTTAAAAATAATAACTAAATTTGGATTATTTACCTAACCAGTTCTTTCCTATTTTCTATATATTTTCACATATCACTTTAAACATTATTTTTAATGGATACATATATTTGAGTAAATGCTCTGTTTATTTTTTAAACTGTATATTTTTGTTTACTGGTTTGAATATTCAAGAAAGAAAAAATGTGACATCTGGCAGGATTCAAATATGTGCCCTCCCATCCCCACACACACACATACCTTTGCAGGAGAAACCGTCATTAGAGCTGATGTAATTTTAATCGGCTTGGCCACAAAGTGTGTCATTGATTAAGCAAGGTTCTATATAAAAATAATGTTATAGTGATAAAAATATGTTGGATTAATAAATAAAATAATTCATTCCTTTAGAAATTTCTTTGTTTACATTCCAAATACAAAACTGAGCAGTTATAAATTTTCAGGAATCTGAACAAGAGGGAGGTGCTTAAAAATCAGTATAGAACCTTGCTTAATTGACGATGTTCTTCAATTCCAGGTCAGGACTAATTACATTACTGACTCTTGAGAATCTCAAGATATATATCAGGAGCACCAGAGATTATAGCAGCAATATTCGATGCACAAACAAATGGTAGATTTATAAATGTACAACATGGATTTTGACAAGAAAAATTGCCTGGTACAATACAGTAAACCAACTTTCCTAGCAGTAGACCTAGCAATTAATTCAATATAATCACTTCACTTTATGTCAGTGGAGAATATGAGACTAAGAAGGCACAATGAGTTGCTCTCCTGGAGGTTAGTATCAGTCTTGCTGATGGAAGGTAAAAAAAAAGTTTGTCTACGGTGATTAAAAGGTAGCAGTTTCATTTTGGAGGTGTTAAAATTCACAAGCCATTCTTTGTCCCAGTTAACAACATCAAAAAAAGTACAAAACTTAAAGAATTTTTTTTTTTTTTTCAAAGCAAATACTCTTCAACATAATCATCTACCATGTCAATGCACTTAATCCAATGGGAAATATTAATCATGTAGTTTGATCATTGTACAATGAAATTTCAGGTCAAAATTCTGCTAATTATTACACTGCATCTCATTATTAGTCATTTTTTTTTTCTTTAGATTTTGAAATCCAAATATTTATTTACTGAATTATTCCAGCATCTATCTGCTCAGTTAGGATCAAAATTTATTTGTTCTGTACAAATGTAAAAAAAAAAAGAAAAAAGGCATAATTTTATATGAAATATCCTGAATTTTAAAGTCTCAAATTAATAGCCATATTCCAAGTTTGAAGCTTTAAAATAAATTGTAAGGCTGATCTGATGAATAAAGTGGAATGTTTAATAAGTTCCCAGATTACAGAATGTAAATACAATGCTAGATATTGCAAAAATTATTGACATGCATCACCAAATTGAAGAAATTCATTAAAGATCCTGGACAACTCCAATGGAGATACAATCAGAGCAGTTGAGAACTTTATCTCACTGATGTGTGCTCCCCTATTAAAATGTTATTAAAGACTCATCTCTCAAGCTACAAAAATTTTAGACACTATGGTAGCTGAAGTACTGAAAAGCACAAAGATAATGGATCCCAAATCAAGTAGCAAAATATGTGAGACAAATCACTATGCCTCCTTTAAAAAAATAAGGAAAATCAAATGAAATAGACAACAAAATATATAAAGACTAATTTTCTACCATTCTTTTCACTGACAAATGCCATGCTGCCCTCAACAAGCTAGATGGCTAGTGGTGGAAACTGCTCTCATATGTTGGAATGTAAAGAAGATGAAAGTGGTAATTTTGGGGGTTGGAATTAGGGGTAGCCTCATGGTGAATTCTAGATAGTGCTAAGATAACAGCTTAAACCTCTATTGACATTTTTTGTTTGTTTGTTTTTTGTTTTTTTTTAAGGTGTGTGGGATGCTAGCTTCAAGAAGAAGCCAAACACTTTCAGAAAGATGATATTTATGACCAACAATGTTGCATTATATTCAACTAATGAATATTGGAATAAAATAGGTTTCAAACACACTTGTGTGATAAATGACCAACTTGATCATCTGACCATATTGAAAACTTTTGAAGCATTCCAAAGAGGAAGGTTCACAGTGATGGGTGGTAACTTTCCAGGAAAGATAATCATTGTAATGTTATTCTGGATGCTGTGCTGTCTGTTTTATAATGCAATGTCAATCATTATCTACTGTCTTCTTGATTCCTCTGTTTTATTGTTCTCGCTCCTTTATAATGTTTTCATTTTCTTATTCTTTCACACTCAGTAACCCCTTGTGCTTTAGTGGCTTTATTGGAGTCTAATGCTCAAACAATGAATGAATGAATAATCTCTAAAAACACATTTCACAACATGAATCATATATTTCATGATAATGTTGATTTTATAACTTTGACATTACAATGAATGTTTTTCAATGTAAAATTCTACAATTCTGTAATTATAATTTTTAATCACAACCTAATGTCCATACATGATCACAAGTCCCATAACTCATTAGAGTTATAGGGGAATTAGATGTACTGTAGCCATAGCAACAGTGGTGTGTCTTGGGCAAGATAGCCTGATAAAACTCAGAATTCTTGAAGTTGGTTTGAATTCAGTTTTTCTTTCTAGAGTCCTTACTAACTAAAGGTATAGGGCTATATTTTTGTGATTCCTTTAATCAATTTTCAAAGTTAGGAACCATTAAAAGTGTCTAATAAAAAGGAGATGCTGGTTATGTGCCAGATTGTAGACTTACTAATCAACACTGATATAATCACAAAGTAGCCACAAAAATAAATCTTTGAATGTTTTTTGTTATTCCTTTCAGATACCCCTTGACATCAAGACAACAAAAGTTTCGTAAAAAGAGAAAAATACATCATCAAACTGATGGTGCCTGTCATTCCAGCAATAACCAAATAGACCAGATTCCCAAACCCAGTGAAGAAAGTAACAGTTCAGGTATTTTTTTATATTATAATCGATAAAAGAAAATTGCAATAGTAAATGAAATTCAATCAGAACCACATAGAATATATTGCTGGATTCATCATGTAGATATTAAACCTGAAATATGAACATAAAAAAGATGGAGAATTTTTTATTTCTCTTTTATTTGTCTCTTCAATATACAAAAAACAGCCACATAGTTACTTTCTCTCAGTTTTAATCTCATATTGTCACTATAATAAACTTATTTTATTTTTAATGCTTGCTGTAATTCCTTTCTTTTTGGTGATAATTATTAATGACAAAGACTGGATGTTATACAGTTAAAATTTCATACTAAAATTCAACTAAAGATTATATGACAGGCTACAGATTTACTGATCCCCCTTTACATAAAGATGGTTGTTTATACCTTTCTATTAACTGTTAACAGCACACTTTATTATTTATAATTTTAATAGCCATTTATACTTACCTTCCTTGATAGAAGATATTAAATTATACAAAATCTCTAAAACATAGTGACACATTGGCATAACAAACATTAATTATTCTGTTGAGACAAAATACTCTATGGCATTTATTGATGAGAAATAAGGTTTTATATATATATATATATATATATATATATATATATAAGACAAAAAGAAAACTTATCTTAGCCACTGCATTTTGTCCACTCAGAGAATTTATCGAGTCAAATGCATTTCCCTTGATAAAATCCCTCAGAAGACAAACCACATCGTCTAAGTTTTCCTTTTGTCTTTATTCATATTGTCCTTTTACAGATATACTCTATCTGAATTTTTTCATTCATATATATATATATATATATATATATATATATATATATAGCTTATAAAAATTTTTTTAGTTCTATATGTGTGTGTGTGAATAGGGATCCAATATGGATTGGAAACATTTATAAATTTAACATTTTTCACTTTTATTAAAGCTTTATCAGAGAATGAAAATATGAAAAAAAAGATTTCTGTCATTTTTATTTTTGTGTTTGATTTTCATTGGCCAAACAGTCTTCCCATGCAGTAGTCAAGCAGCATTAACATTGACAAATTCTTTTTCCCATATCTCATTCTCTGATGAATGTTTAATAAAAGTGAAAAATGTTAGATTTATGAACATTTTCTATTTGTTCTTTAATATATATATGCTCCTAAATTGGTTAGAATTTTATACATCATTTAAGCTGTATCTTAGGAACATACATACATACAAGATTAGAGTTTTAGCATATATATATATATATATATATATATATATATATATATATATATATATATATATATATATATGTGATTAGTGCATAGTAATTAACAATGTTAAAGGAGAACGTCTTCCCCTTCTGTCAAATTAAGTATTATCATGGAATCAATATATGAATTATTAAAAGTATTAAATGAAAACATTAATAATTTTAATATGCTGAAATTTTGTTGTTTTTCTAATCTGTGTATCAGGAGTGCATTTTTTTTTTGTAAATACAAATTAAAATATGTGTAATTAATAAAATTGATAATATCATTTTGTATCATGAACTGTTTTTAAAAGGAACCCAAAAGGTTTATGGGTGATCTAGTGTGTAAAATATATATATATATATATATATATATATATATATGTCAGATTTCATTGAAAAATACATCCCTACCCCTACCAAAACGTAGCTAATAACTGATACATCAAAATACAGCGATAATGAACATGCAAACACCCCTTGTCTGATTGAATTGGATTTCTCTGTATCCTTGGAAACATGAATTATGATTTTTGCTGTGTCTTTAAAACCCAGTAATTTTAAAAGTTATTCCAAAATTTGCCTGAGGATGAAATGGAACTAATATCTTTGATTTAATTACAAAATTAAATTCGGAGCTTTCAGCTTCCATTTTTGAAACATGGTTAGAACTGTGTAGTGAAAAAAAAAACATATTTTAAATCAATTAATTTATAATATATATAAGTCAACATCCAGAGGTAACAGTCTGTTTCATGCTAAACACAATCATCAGGCCATGATGATTGTGTTTAAAATGAAACACTGTCACTTCTGGGTGTTAACTTCAATGTTCAGTTTTATATTTACATACACTCTATCCCTGATGTTGACCTCTTTAACCCATAAATATAGCATACCTTAAAACTATTTTTATATATATAGTGGACATTGAGGTCAACACCCAGCAGCGACAGTCTGTTTCAGGCTTAAATGTAATTGTCAGGCATAGATGACCCGATGATTACGTTTAAGCATGAAACAGACTGTTGCTGCTGGGTGTTGACCTTAGTGTCCTCTTTTATATTTACATATGCTCTACCCCTGATATTGAGCATTTTGACCTCTACATATAGCATACCTTAAAACTATATTTTTATCATTTATATATAAGTGGACACTGAGGTCAACATAGTGGCCACAGTCTGTTTCATGCCATTAACATTGCAACTAATAGTGTTTTTTATCATACATTTATAATAAATGGATAATTTAAAAATGTAAACAGTTTTTTCTGGATTAAAATCTATAGATCACTTTGTGTTTTATTCTAAGTTTGAAAAATTCATTGCTAGATTTTTTTGTCTATGGATTCATAAGAATAATATTGCAGTTCAATTAAAAAAAATGTCATTCTAATATGTATTCATGTTTTGTTTTCTTTAAGAAGTAACAACAACTGCTACTGTTGCACAAACCCATGAGAAGCAAATCCCACAAAAAAGGGGTAAAGGTCGTCCAGTCGGCTCTGTAACTAAACACAAGAAAGTGTACGACACTGTTCCACAGCGAACGTCAAGTCGCCAGAGAGAGAAAAAAGCTCGTCTTGATTCTGAATTATCAGCCAGTCAGGAAGCAGAAACAACAAGCAAGCTAACCTTGAAAAAAGAAATGCCATCTTCAAGCACAATCAGCCAAAAACCTCAAACATCTGAAGTTAGCAATGAAGCATCAGCTAAGACAAAAGATTTACTGGCAAATGTGTCACCTAACCTTGTACAGCAGGTGATCTCCCAGGAGGTTCAAGTAAAGCCAGTTGGCACTTATATTACTGTGCCACTCAATGTGAAGAGCAAAGACATGCCTCTATGGAATTGAAATTGTTTATTGCTTTCAATTTTATTGTTTCTCTACTTATTTATAAAAAGAAAAAAAACATTTTCTAAATAAATTTTTTGTTAACTTTTGATGATTTCAAATTTTATCTGATTATTTTTGCTTTGTATCAAAATGCCTAGATCATTTTCAGCATGAATTAGTTTTTTAAAAAAAAAATTAATGTCTGATAAGATTTGAACTTGTGTACCATATCCTTGAGACTGAGAAGACATCAATTTGGCCATGGAAACCAACCAATAAGTTAAAATTACATCTCATTATACAGCCACATAATTTCTAAGGTAGGTAATAATCCACTCATTCAGGCAATTAGAGTCCCAAAGAGGCTTGAAACACATATAGGACACACATATTTAACTCATTCTCACATATTAAAAAAGACAAATCCACCAAAATGTAAATGTGGAAGCCTAATCACAATAAGACATATTCTATCAGAATGCAAAATCATAACTAGAATAAGACAGAAATATCTCAATGGAAAAGATTTAAAAGAAATATTCAAAAATACAGACACAGAAAAAATATACAGTTTTCTCAAGGAAATAAAAATCCTCAATAAAACATAAATAGTGTATATATATATATATGCTTATAGACATATATATGCATCTATGAATGTAAACAGTAAAATACACAATCAGAAACGGTCACAAAAAGCAATCCCAAAAAATACAGAAAATTATGAAACCCAACAACCTTTCATCTTTTTATACAAAATAACCAACTTAAATTCATAAATTAATAAGGCTTCGGCATAAATTGACCCAAATAGGAGTTGACATGCCGTTAAATCCAACATCCATCCATCCAAAGAGGCTTGACAATGGTTGGTTAACTAAATAGTTAAATGTAAAAAGGGCCAATTTTATGTTATAGGACAGAGAAAAATGTGAGAGAAATTTTAATTGTGTTTGATTACTCGAATTAAATGTGTAAAAATAACTAATTAAGAAACTTGGTAATGAGAAATTAGATGTTTGAGAAGTTCTTAAAGAATATAAACCAAACATTAAATTCAGATGAAAAAGTAACTTAGTGTAACTGAGTACATTCCAAAAATGATGACATGTTTCTTCCTTGACCAAAATAAAAATTATCTCTAAAATCCTAGAGATTAAGTTGTTAATATAAAGACCTATCAGTTGGATTGCTATGCTAAAAAAGCATAGCAATCCAACAGCTGGTAAGAAATGAAGATTATGAAGATGATGATTGACCCTTGACTTTATTCAAAGTATATCACAGCAACAATAACTCAGACTGGTAACTGCTAGTTGGTTCAGCAATTCAATGAAAGAACTTTGGTCTCATGCTTGCAGACAAAGTTGATCAACTTTTCCCTTTGATTGTCAGTCTGCAAATAAAAGCTTCTTAGGCTTAAGAAAATTTCTTCAGATAACTGTTCTTGGATAATATCTTGCAAAGGGGTAGTGATGTCAAGTACTTGACTGCTTCATTACAGATTGTGCTGACTATTCAACTGTGACTCTGTCTAGGACTGTAGTGGGTCCTTATATTTATGGGAACATGTTTCTTTCAGATGTTGTGTTACAAATCAATTTGAATGTGTGCATAGTAATTCAGGTGAAGTTGTTTAGTGACTTTATCCTCCACTGACATACCAAATTTTTAACCTCAGACAATAAAACGCAGAATTTTGGAGCAATATTTAAAAAAATGCAAACTAAAAGGACACATGTGCTTCAGAAAGAGACAGTCGAAATCTTTAGGGCATATAATGAGGAAAATGGGTTTCAAAATTTGACACTCACAGGACATTAAAGATAAGAGGGACAGAGTAAAGCAGTGCATAACGTACCTAACAAGCTTATGTAAATGGTTAACAGAACAAGGATTAGAAGAGATAGCAAAAAAATACAAACTTTAGTAAGAGCTACAAAGGTCAGGAAATTGTGGAGAACCATGATTGATTGACAAGGCACATTGAAGTTGACAGGAAAGCAAAAAGCTGGAAAAGAGTTCCAAAAAACAAGTGCAATTAGTCATCCATCTAACATATTTCCTTTTTTTTTATTTTACAGCTTTGCAGAGACAAACATTTAAGCAAGATAATATTTGAAATTTCTTTATGGCTTTTCTGTATTCAACAGCAGCAGATTATCTCCAGCTTCAATGGTTGTGTGTAACTAACAAAACACATAGCCCATATGACGGGTGATTTGTTTGTTATGGCTTATGAACATTTTGCAGATTATTCAAAGCCAGATAATACTTTTAGATTATGAGATTTATTTATTTTTTTTTTTAGATAATGGTTTAGTGATACAAATCTTACTAATTAACCCATGGCTGGGGAAGAGAAATGGATTCATACCTTTCCCAGGGATATTTGCACGTGAATTAATATAACCGGTTTTCCCAAGCAGTCACCCATCTAGGTACTGACCAGGCTCAACTTTGCTTAACTTCAGTGATCGTATGGGAACCAGAGTTTCAATGTGTTGTGGTCGTAATCCCTCACATGATGAGTTCAAACCAATGGCATTTATCTCTAAGATACACATTGCTTACACTATAAAACAGAAAAGTTAAAATAGTTTTATTTAATAATTTTAACATTATTTATTTCAATTGTATTACATAACACTAAAGGGAAATTCAGTTAATCTATACCTAATGTAACCAGTAGTCTTACACTTGAGGCTTGTAAATAGACATTCATCTTTGAAAGTCTTTACATCTGATACGCAAAATTCAATTTACAGCAATCTCTTTTCACAATAAAATCGTATAACGCTTGCAGGCGAAATATAGATTATATATGGAGAGAGCCTGAAGTTAGGCAGTACACACTCTGTCCAGTACTGAATAACGGCTGCTGCTGATTCGGTGAAAGGCATTCGATTGAATAATGTTTAAAATGGTGAGTTAAAATATTTTGTTATTACTTTGTTATGTCAATAAAAATATTCTTTTTCAGTTATGATTGTAGTGATCCGGGAAGCATCCTTTCAGGAATTTGTTCAACAAAGCGACAGTTCTAAGAAAAAAGCTGCCTGTGTTGAACTTCTACCTTAACAAGAGCATATAAAGGAAATCAGGATGAATTGACTCTGTCAACGTGATTTGACGGGTCCTACACTCGTGTATCTAAGGGATGTAGATCGTGGGATTATTTGCCAATGAAATAGCGACTGAGTAGCAAGAAGCTCCCAGCTTTTTGTCTGGGAGGAAAGGAGGTTTAGAGTGTAAAATAATTCATCACCCACAAGGTTGCGTAATAGCTTGTTAATAAAGAAAAAATATCAGATTTCTATTTGAAATCCAAATGTCTCCCATTTATATCCCAAGGGTCGTAATTTGTACACTTGCATGACTGCATCCCCTCCACAGAAGTAGTTCTTATTCTCGGTGCATGGGCGGTTGCAGTAGTCGTCATTGTACCTAAACGATTCTCTCCTTGAATTGAGGATAATGCTACAGTAACAGCTATCTCCACGGAGTAGACCTGCGTAAGGTTTTTCCAGAACCGTACAGAGGTAACAGCATCGGGAAATGCTCATTACATCTGCCTCGTTCCTTTCCACTTTTGTTATAGCATAGTCATACATAACGTTCTTCAGGTCCGACTTTGCATCGGCTACAAAAGTAAAACACCCAACATACATGGCCAAAGGAGTTTCTCGCTGGGCCGCATAATTCAGGGCGTACATTTGAATGTGTCTCTCTCCTCCACAGGTTGTCATTTTATTAAGGCACGGTATGTTGCAGAAGCTGCTGTTTGACATCTGATTAAGCAAAGACGCCGTCGACGGGTTGTCACCACACCAGCACTGAGTACCACGCTGAAGAGCTGCATACTTTCTGAATTGGCTATGGCAGGAAAGGATGCACCGACCGATTGTCATGAAGAATGTGTCCGAGAAGAGCTCAGACAATTGCTTGGATCTTTCTTTGTGGTCGTTCTCTTTATAGCAGCCGATGTAAATACTGTTAAGACCTGACTAAAATTAAAACAGCCATTAATAAATAAATAGATAACATACATGCAATCAAACGGGGGGGTGGACAACAGAAGCTTCCTATTTCCGAAATGTTTTTTCAATATTTTTACACTTGCATTTTTTCTTATGTTCTTTACACTACAAATCCTCCTATTTAATAAGCTCATTGCTTATAAAATGGACGATACTCCATTATGATCGACTGAATTTTAGCTTATGAACAACGAAAGAAAAACACTTTATGAGATGATGGTTAACAAGTGTCGGAGTTAGCTCCTCCTTGGCTCCTTAAAACCGGAAGAGAAAAGGTCATTTCGACCGTTACCTTTCGGTTGTGCTTCCTACACGCTGTTAACCCGAGGTAGAGACTAGCAAGTTACCTTTTCAGTTTAGTTATATTACGAACCTAGTTGTAATATACTTCTAGGCATTTTTAGGTCTTCCTTTAGCTAAGCTCTACTCATTTTATAGATAGACTTTACTGTGTTAGCTTACCAATTCTCTTGCTAGTCTCCCTTACCACAAGACAGTGACTTCTCGCTAAAATTCGGGTCGGCGACTGAAACGGTCGATACGCAGGCTCCTGGCCTCTGTGGTCAGGACGTCGACCACCGGGCTGTGTATTAAGTTACGCTCCCATTTCTTTTTGTCTGCCAACTTGACGATAGTTGTAAACTTTGCTTTCTCTCTCTACTTCGCCTCTTACTTCTGGCTCCTTGCCAATTCTCGGCATTCCGTCCCTACTGGCTGCCTGCGCGTCGTCCATAACCTTTCCCGTACACTACGTTTGTAATTATTACGGGAGGTTACTAATATCGGACTCGACCGGCAGACACGCAACGCCTGCACTGGACTTTTGACATGCCCGAACAACATCGCAATGCCAACTCCTCTTTCCTTCTCAACACGTCAAGTTGGCATCCCGGCAACGACCAACATCAACCTCAAAATACAATGACCAGCAGTGGTTATCTGCAACGACCAACGGCGATCATCTGCATGACCAGCAGTGATCACCTGTAACAACCAACCTCGACCATCAATGCCTGCACCGGAACATCTGCATCTCTGCCATTCCGACCACCTTTATTTCTCAAGGACACATGGCACAGTGGATAAAGGCGTTGGTTAGATCCAGTGACAGGACCCAAAGAGTGTGAGTTCAATACCCGGTTAAGGCAGTGGAGAACTTTCAGAGGGAAATTAACAGGAGATAACTGATAACTGACATCCATCAAACATGGCACGTGGAACTAGAACAGTCTATCCCGGTGAGCGTAATAAAGAGTTCAGTTCGACATTCCAACCACCTGAAGAAGGCCGGAGTGTACAACGGCCGAAACGTTGTGATAAATATGGCGACAAAGATGAGGACAATAGTCCGAATAATGTAAATAATGTACGTAATACCTCATCTCGGAAATATAGACAAACCTTTATTTCTTTTATTACTTTTCTAGAATAAATTAGCTTATATCTTATATATCCTCGTTCTGTCGTCTATGTTGTTTCACCTTGTCAGATTTAACGTCTTCGAAAATGCTAGCGGGCCTCTTGTGATCTCATCACCCTTTTGTGATACGGGGGCGCTCGAGGGGTCCGCTACACAAGTTTGTCTTTCGGTCCAATTCGTTCGTGTAATGAACACAATCTACACGATATTTTGACAGACTAAGCAACACTTAGTAAATTAACATCGGGTGCCACGCCATGAAGTGAGGTGATCATTTGATATTTACTAGGCTTTGCTTAGTTTAACACCACGTTTCTGAACAGATGCGTACTAATGCGCCCTGAAAGGTAACCAGGTACGCTTCAAATTAACAGAAGAATAATTTATGAATTATTTTTATATTTAAAAACTTTTTATTTCTTAAAAAGCTAGATGCTTCCATGTATAAGTCTTTGTCATTTGATATTTTAAATTGGATGTTAAATCCTTTGATCTCTAAGGAGTGGATAATCCTTTTCCTTCTGCATTCTTCAAAGGATTTAAATCCATCATTATTGTCCGCTAAAAAAAAAAAAAAAAAAAAAACGCATATCCTTTATAAATGAAAATTATACGGCTAATCTTCTTTGGGAATGCTAAACCAAAATTTCATATTTTCAAATTTCAGGACTAATTTTTCATTATTAAAATTTAAAATGGGCCCTAGAATTTTAATTATTCTACACGTGCGCCCTGAAGTTTAAACAAAAAAAAAGTTGAGAAACACTGGTTCAACATGTCGTCTCGCCGAAATTATTAATTCGCAAACAGCGCAAACTAAAGAACTCATCAAGGGCCTTTTTTTTGAGAGAGATATTTGAAAATGACTGGACTTGTAATACCCAAGACATTTGATACCTGATTATTTTATGTTAAGAATATCTTTCTTTAAAAGAAATAGAAAACGAAGAAAACTATTTGTTTGGCACCTTCTTCTCACACCTCTCAGAACTGTCTTATGCCCCACTTAAGGGTTAAAACGCAAGTTAAGAATTACTAGTATAAGGAAAATATACGTACCTTTCCAGCGGGTGTAACTATCTTGAACAGCTGGAAGTGTCCCTTACCGCCACCACATCGATATTTTATATTTCCCGTACAAGGAACGTTACATCTGTACTGCGGAGAATTCTTTCGGAGTGACTGGTCTTTATTGCCACACGAGCACGTCCTACCTTTGGAGATAGCAGCAAATTGGTATCCTTTGATTCGGCAGTAGTTTAGACACAATTGCGAATCCATCTTGTTCGTAGTGAACCGCTGAAGTCCCATTTCGCGTTCGAAGTCTTGTTGATTACTCCACTGACGGCAGCCGATATCCTCACCTTCTGAGACTGCCATCTTTTCCAATGGAACAACAAATCCTTGCTGAAAAAATTCATCGTCATCGAAGTAGAAAGTTCTAGCAGTTCGTATAATAACACTAAACACTAATGGTGTAACTAAAATGAAGTTACGGTAATGGTTGTTGGGTTGTCTATTTCTCATCGCGTCTTTCTATTCATTCTGTTCATTATTCTTTTATACAGTGGGAAACGTTAACGCTTGCAAAATTACGTTACACCTTGTTTAGCCAATGAAATTTACGCCTGATAAAATGCGTTCATTTAATTTCTTTTGTGTATAATTTTATTCGCTGTTTGACGTTTTTACTAGTGTAGACGCTTTCATTATGTATTTAAATGAAAACGCTTTTACTACAGAAATCTTTGAAGTACGTTTAGTTTCAAGAGATTCGTCTCCGAGGAAATTGACAACTTTTGTTATCTCCCTCACTTACGCCCGCAGTCCCCATATACATATAATTTTGTATATCAGCAAACAGTATTTAGAAAGATATGACAAACTGAAAAATTTCTTGCACAAGGTATTTTCCAGTTTGTCATATATATATACATATACAGATGATTACATATTGTTTATGATATTACAAGAATATTATTCAGTGAGGTAATAATAATTATAATACCGGGCCCGAAGTGAAAACACAGTTCAGAGCGAAAATGAATAATACAGGAGGTCCTCGATTTACGACAGAGTTCCGGTCATAATGCGATTTTACCTGTAAGTCGGAACGTACCCGCGATTTTCCAGGAATAAGTACTTAGGTCACTCACGTATGCTAACGCAATAGTAAAGTAATAATCTAGGGCATAACAACACATTCCTATGACATATATTCTTGTATTCTTCCACCGCACCTTTTGCGTCGTATGTACGAGACAAACGACGTATGTCGAAACAAGATTAATGGCGATTGCGTTGTAACCACGAAGCGTCGTTGATCGAGAGTATCGTAACCCGGGGACTTACTGTAATTATTTTTGCAAAATAGGTAGGATTAAAACGAGAGAGAAAAATTGACGCCAACTATAAAATAAATCTTCCTGACCAATGGTGATTTTTATAAGCGTAGTTTTGATGTGGCACAAGGCCGAAAGTATGGGACATCTAGTGAGAATCGAACTCGCTATTCAGTCGTAATTGATCTAGCGAGACAAGCTTGCTAACCATTACACCACATCGAAGTGCCCATGTACCTGACCAATAAGTACAAACAAAGCAATATTTTTTACCCAATGAAAAAACAAAAAAATCAGATTCGGAAAAAAAAATCGTTTTTTGGTGTTTCTAAAAAGGCATACTTATTCTGATCTTCGTTCGTCAGCCTTTGAACAACAACAACAACAGCAGCAACAACTTGTCTCTACTACTTCTTTTATCGTCTTTTATCACACACACACACATACACACACACACACATTTTATGACTGGGCATTTTGGTCCTTCATTAATTTTATGTTCTCAGTTTATGGACATTTTTGTATTTCAAATCTCAATTATAAAGAATTTGCGCAGCCACAAAATTGAATGTATTTTTAAAGCTTAGCAACAAAAACTTATTTATGGATGTACAAACTTTGATATTTTTTTCTTCAAAATTACATTATAGTTCCTTAGCAAAATGTCTGAATCTGGTCCAAAGCACTTTAACATACTGTCTTTTTATTTTTTTATTTTTTTTTTTTCATCAGAACATTGGAAAGGTTCGTGCGCGATTTTCATTGTTAATATAAAAAACGACTGAAGCTTGATACTGGTGTTTCTTTTGATATGTTCTAGATTAAAATCTTGTATCGTTCAGTTGCGAGTCAGGCTTTGTTAAATGTTAACGTTTTATCCAAAAATAAACGCCTTAAAGATGGACGATAAAAAGTTGCACTTTCGCCATATTATACTCTACGAATTTACCAAAGGAGTAAAGTGTCACAGCAGTGAAAAAAAAAAAACATTCAGAAAGTTTATTTGGATCCTGCTCCAGCTCTTCGGACGGTCAAAAAGTAGTTTGGAAAATTTCGTCAGGGTGATTTTAACCTAAACGATTAATCATGCTCCGGGCGAACTTCCGACGTCGATGAAGATGCTCTTGTAAATGCAGATTGTCTTGAAAAGATTAATGTGGCTGCGTGTTGAAGAGCATTTAACATTTATACATTTTTGAATCAAG